TACTAATTAAAAAATCCAACAATGTTTGACATGTCTACTGCATACTTAATCCTAGTCTAGGCTTGGTGAAATGGAGCAGAGCACATTGGGACAGTAATACATCCAATCATACTGCTAATAAAACTGTATATAGACACGGCTAGCATCCTAGAAGACACTCCTCCACGCTTTAGATTTTATGTTTATATCAAGCCCCTAATTGTTTCCTTTGTTCCGCCAGATGTCCACTCCTGTGCTGGTAACAGGTGGCCACTTGTTTAATTAGTCCACTTGATGAAGCAGGACCAGAGATTAAGGAAATAAATTAACATGGACTATTGGTAGAACATTTTCATATCATAAAATGACTTAAAGAAATTAAAGAAATATGAAATTGGCATCGACAATCCTTGATGTGTAAGAATTAGCCCTATGTTATCTTCATCAATGATTTTGTAAGATCACTCAGACATACATGTGGACATATCTGAGCATGGGCATATAGGGTATGTTTCAATATCAATGTAACAACCAAAGTTTAATTGGTTAATTAAAAGATCCATTGCCATTGTCTGATCTACCAACTATCACAGTGTATGGACAAAGGGATCTGTCTTAGCTCAGTCCCTGACTAGGAGCGTATTGTGCAACATGTTTGTGTCATTGTGTGTGTACTTATAACATGCAGACAATGCATGGTTATACAATTCACTGTAACACAAAGCATATTTTGCACCAGTTTTCTTCCAAAAGGAAATGAATAAGGTTATTTAAGGTAATGTCACTGGATTAGAGAATAGCCCCACAGTAACCATAAACTGATTATGAAGCATTTTTACTTTGTAAATGTAAAGACGGAAATTGCCTCTACAGGTGTAGGATCTTAATTTGATCACTCTTTTGTTGTTGAGAACAATCCTGCATTGCAGGAAATGCAGATGAGCTTTATGATTTTCATAAATTCACTGAAAACCCGCACTAACACATGGTTATATTAACAGTATTACACTTTCCATGTAGCCTCCAGCTAATAGCCTAACCACTGATCAAGCAACATTATGGACTACATATTCCAATCCTGTTGCTGCCGGATTATTTTGAAAAACAATACTGGTCAAATTAAGATGCTACATCTGTATGTCAGCTTTGCTTGGGGCATCCAAAAGGCTCATCACTCATAGGAGTTTGAGGAACGCACTCCATACTTGTTTAAATTTAGATCGTCTGGAAGACAACATTGGTAACATCAATTAAATTCCAGGTTCATGCACACATTATGAATGCTTCATTGAGTTGTTAAGACCTGGGGTTAGGCTCAATTGACAATGGAAGACGACCTACATATTGTTTTTTGAATTCAAACAGTGAATATTCAAAACTACAGTGAGGGAAAAAAGTATTTGATCCCCTGCTGATTTTGTACATTTGCCCACTGACAAAGACATGATCAGTCTATAATTTTAATGGTAGGTTTATTTGAACAGTGAGAGACAGAATAACAACAACAAAAATCCAGAAAAACGCATGTCAAAAATGTAATAAATTGATTTGCATTTTAATGAGGGAAATAAGTATTTGACCCCTCTGCAAAACATGACTTAGTACTTGGTGGCAAAACCCTTGTTGGCAATCACAGAGGTCAGACGTTTCTTGTAGTTGGCCACCAGGTTTGCACACATCTCAGGAGGGATTTTGTTCCACTCCTCTTTGCATATCTTCTCCAAGTCATTAAGGTTTCGAGGCTGACGTTTGGCAACTCGAACCTTCAGCTCCTTCCACATATTTTCTATGGGATTAATGTCTGGAGACTGGCTAGGCCACTCCAGGACCTTAATGTGCTTCTTCTTGAGCCACTCCTTTGTTGCCTTGGCCGTTTGTTTTGGGTAATTGTCATGCTGGAATACCCATCCACGACCCATTTTCAATGCCCTGGCTGAGGGAAGGAGGTTCTCACCCAAGATTTGACGGTACATGGCCCCGTCCATCGTCCCTTTGATGCGGTGAAATTGTCCTGTCCCCTTAGCAGAAAAACACCCCCAAAGCATAATGTTTCCACCTCCATGTTTGACGGTGGGGATGGTGTTCTTGGGGTCATAGGCAGCATTCCTCCTCCTCCAAACACGCGAGTTGAGTTGATGCCAAAGAACTCGATTTTGGTCTCATCTGACCACAACACTTTCACCCAGTTCTCCTCTGAATCAATCAGATGTTCATTGGCAAACTTCAGACGGGCCTGTATATGTGCTTTCTTGAGCAGGGGGACCTTGCAGGAGCTGCAGGATTTCAGTCTTTCACGGCGTAGTGTGTTACCAATTGTTTTCTTGGTGACTATGGTCCCAGCTGCCTTGAGATCATTGACAAGATCCTCCCGTGTAGTTCTGGGCTGATTCCTCACCGTTCTCATGATCATTGCAACTCCACGAGGTGAGATCTTGCATGGAGCCCCAGGCCGAGGGAGATTGACAGTTATTTTGTGTTTCTTCCATTTGCGAGTAATCGCACCAACTGTTGTCACCTTCTCACCAAGCTGCTTGGCGATGGTCTTGTAGCCCATTCCAGCCTTGTGTAGGTCTACAATCTTGTCCCTGACATCCTTGGAGAGCTCTTTGGTCTTGGCCATGGTGGAGAGTTTGGAATCTGATTGATTGATTGCTTCTGTGGACAGGTGTCTTTTATACAGGTAACAAGCTGAGATTAGGAGCACTCCCTTTAAGAGTGTGCTCCTAATCTCAGCTCGTTACCTGTATAAAAGACACCTGGGAGCCAGAAATCGTTATGATTGAGAGGGGGTCAAATACTTATTTCCCTCATTAAAATGCAAATCAATTTATAACATTTTTGACATGCGTTTTTCTGGATTTATTTGTTGTTATTCTGTCTCTCACTGTTCAAATAAACCTACCATTAAAATTATAGACTGATAATTTCTTTGTCAGTGGGCAAACGTACAAAATCAGCAGGGGATCAAATACTTTTTTCCCTCACTGTACATACTTTGTTGGGTTTTGACTGGAGGCACATTGTGTAAAAACAGTGCCTGACCAAGACGAAGGGTCTGTTAAGTTTATCCTTCCTTAAAGTTTTTGGAGTGCAGGATTTTGCTCCAACCCTACTCCAACACCTGATGGAGCTAATCAAGGTCCTGATGAGTAGTTGATTAGTAGAACCAAGTGTGTTTTAGCAGGGTTGGAGTGAAAGCCTGCACACCCAGTAGCTCCCCAGTAGGAGGGTTGGCCACCTCTGATTAACAGAAATGATCAAGAAATAACAATAAAACACATTTAAGAACTTAGTTACACCATTTATTTAGTAAATAATCATGTGTATTGGCAGCAGTCATATTCCCACGATTAAAACAATGGTTTTTTTCTTAAATGTCAAAGAAAATTAATATAATTATAACCTGAGACACAGAAAATAACCAAAATTTATTATATTAACTTTAAATTCGGTCTTTCCTAATTGTTCCCAAAATAGATTTGAACTGAACAATTTTTAAAAAGCTCAAACTGAATTTCAAGTCATTAACAAATTCCTTTAATTACACCAGTCAAAAACCTTTTTTAAATCTACATTTTACCCTGAAATTGATTCTCAAATGGACAATATTAGGCCAACATTGATGTTCCATTCCTTATGCAATACCTTAATCGATCTGTAAGTTAACTAAATATTATAATTTTCAGAATATAGGTATTATGGGTACAATAAAAAACAGTAATGGTGTGTAGGTAATGTAAAATGTAGGTGGCTATTTTAAATGTATGTATGTGTATGCGAGGCAATGTATGTGAGGCATACCAACATCTTAAGAGACATTCCCTTTAAATATATATTATGTTGAGTATACGGACATCTACATTTCAATTGAAGTCAATGAAATTCAATTCCATCTTATTGCAACCTCTTGGGGACAAAAGCGTCTTTAGCTTCAAGCCTCTAATACATCCTCAAGTCTGTCTTGATGTCAAGTTGGAGCCCAATTCATTACACAACAGTCAGGAATATTTGTATGATATATGCACAACACATGTATGATCTACTGTATATATGCATTCTTCCTAATTACATTGAGAAAGAAAAGTTGCAGCAAAAAGGCCTAGCGAGAATCATATAGCCAAATGTATGAGTCAGCGCAACTTTGGTCCTTCTGTAAAATACTGGTGTTCTTATATTTTAAAATAAATATGTAAACAACAGGTAATTTAACCTGAACATGCATGAATCATGTGTCAATTACATTAGATTCAATTTTTTTAATAGACATATGCCGCAACTACAAGACTCAATATAGATGTAGGATCTTAATTTGATCCCCCTGTTGCAGGATAACTTTCCTGCAATGGAGGAAAGTGTATTTGAGGTTTAAAAAGGCTTCTGAAGTTTGTAATTTCCACTTTGATATTTCAGACCTGATTTTCCCTTATGAAAAATTTATCAATTCAACAAAAATGTACATTAATTATAATCCACATAATAATTCACGTCCTGTTGTTGCAGGATAATTATTTGTGCTGTAGCAAACTTCCTCAAATTAAAGATCCTACATCAGTATATGTGGACTCTCCTTCCTAGTACATTTGTCATTTAGCATAGACACTTATCTAGAGCAACTTATTAAAAGTAATTATAATAAGGGGGCTAAACAACCAAATAAAAAAGCATTGTAAGTAGATCGATGTTAATGGCTATGGCAAATGTTAATGGCAAATTCCTTACTAAAATAAAAAAGTGCAAATTCCAACCTCATGGCATGTAATAAAGTGCAGATTTCAACACAGTAGTACGAAGTTGAATGATTACAGAGGTAGTGGTACATTACATTATATAGTGTTATAAGACAATGGACCATCTATCACAAGTGATGGGGCGGCAGGTAGCTTAGTGGTTAAGAGCGTTGTGCCAGTAACCGAAAGGTCGCTGGTTCTAATCCCCGAGCCGACTAGGTGAAAAATCTGTCGATGTGCCCTTGAGCAAGGCACTTAACCCTAATTGCTCATGTAAGTCGCTCTGGATAAGAGCGTCTGCTAAATGACTAAAAATGTAAATGTAATCAAGTTAGGAGGGAGTTTAAGAAGGAGAGGGTTGGGGAGTGTAGAAGATACACAAGAGAACAGCAGGGGACCTAGCATCAAGCCCTGTGGGAGACCAGTTGATGTAATGACGATACAGAGCCTCACCAAGGTCCTTTTTAGACAAACAGTTGATGTAGTGTACATACATCTATGGTTTAAGACAGTTGGTGGCACTCCTTTTGGTGACGTGCCATTGACAAATAGTTCAAGTCTAAACGAAAAACATGTATTTTGCATTATTGTAACATTAACATTCCCCATTTATGATGCATCCTATATGATGAAGGAAGTACGGAGTAGAAAACATACTACAATGTCAACCAGGAAATTCAAATTAAAGACCCTATTGTTATTACAAAAAAATATTTCAGCGTCCACTACCATTTACGACCAATCAATGTACAGAAAAGGAGAAACTAGAAACATGACAGACAATTTACAGCAGCTGTCCCCACATTCAACATAAGAACAAATCAACATCAATCAGTGCCTACTTACTTACAGTGTTCTGAGACTCCACTAGGTCTTACATACGGTACAGGAGACTCAACGTTATTATCATACATTCAAATCATCAAAAATTATAAACTCAACAAGTGATGACAACATTGAAATAACCATTTGATGACCATTTCTACAGTATATGTATATTGAAAAAAATGTGGAATGTGCACAGAAAATATAGAGGTAATATATCAGTGCATATGCACAATGTTACAGCCAAGTGTACAACAGCAGATACATATAAATACAAGTATTTGGTATAGCCTGAAATAAATGTTGATACAATCCACTTGTTTCACGGTGACTCCCCATTGGGACATTTTACAAATCATCTTCATTGGTAAGGTTAAATAATTTGGCAATAGGAAGTGTGGAGGTATGAAAAAGTCTCAAGCAAACATAGTGTTTTATAAATGGATGACCAATGACTTTCTAGCGTTGTGATATGTTTTTAATCATGGATATCTGTGAAAGCTCAGCACTTCTGTGGAAATGTTGTCTAATTGATAGTAATGAATGTGGAACAAAATACATTATCACTGTGAATGGAAGATTAGCCATGGTTAGTTACTATGTAGTTAAAATTAAGGTGTTACTAGTGGTATATATTTTTTGTAGGAGCATCATCATTTCTTTTTTTAAAAAATAAATATGAGTGTAAAAAGTAAAGCAAAGGAACCCTTGAACCATATAATTATGGAATGCAGTTCAATCATGGTACTGCTCTTCCCTATAGAAATCCATAAACCAACTTGCCCACCACTTGATATCCAACTTCTTCCCAAAATAATTACTTATATAGCCTTCTGTAAAAAGCATGTATCCAAACCATTTGGAAGACTGACTAAAAATGTCATTTTATATCTTGTAACAGCAGGCCCCAGCCCACCAGATAATAACAGCAGAAACACTGCTGATTTATGACACATGAATGGACAAAAAGTCAAAAGAAGGCACAAATTATAGAAAAATTGGGTACGGAGTTAGGGTTAGTATTTAGTGTGGTTTGAAGGTCTACATGGCCCTACAATCAAATTGAGGTTCTTAGTGATTTCCTTTTTGTCAAAGTTTCTCTCAAAAGCAATTTTCCCTTAAAGTGGTTTCCACAATGGGACAATGGAGCACAATGGAGCCCCTAGTAATGATTATAAAGGGCACTAGGTTGCACTTGGTAGCATGTCCTCGACTCTTGCAGAAGTTTGTGACCCAGTTCAGACACTGTCAATCCTACATCCTATAGAGAAAGACAAAAAGACTGTGTATCCACTGGCCAATCAAGACTACCACCCAGCTTAGATGGCACAAAACAGGGAGGTGAAGGCAGGCGGGGGGTGCTGAGAGTGTGCACAGTGTATTCTCTGTCAGAGATGGCAGCCTATCGTCTGGATCGAAGTGGGACAGAACTCCTTCACTAATCTACACATGAGTGCGGAAGTGGTTGGGAAAGGTCAGCGGTTGCCTGCTCCTCAACGGGATGAACCACAGGACTTTCCAGGTAGTGCCAAACACCTCAGCCAGTGTCCGCTGCCAGGATTTATTTGACCCACCACCAGCCCCACCTCTGTGAAAGAGAAAGGTAAAAATAATGTGCACAAGCATGCAAGTCCGAATGGGCCCAAAAGAGAAAAACAGAGGTCCCAACACTAACCCTTGTGGAACACCAAATTCAACGGAATGATACTGGGATGATTCGTCAACTAGCTGGATGGACACATTGTTTCCATTCAGAGAAGTAAAACAGGAAACTGAAGAGACCGTCCACTGAGCCCAACAAAGTCTGCAAGTACTGAGAGGATTTTCTTGTCCCTTGTATCAAAGGCAGCACAAAGGAACAAACCCATGGTACTTACATTTTACTTGAGAAGTTAGCCATTTTCTCAATGGTGGTGGTGTCCTGTTAGGGGGTCACACAAGAGGGAAATAGTTTAAACATTTAACATCTTTGAGTAGTTTGTTTGATCACAGACTGCCCTGGAACATTTATTTGCATTAATTAACAGGATGTGTACTACTTAGCCAGGTTAACCTCTTCAAGTGGAGGCCTTACACACAAAGCGATTCACCAAACAGATAACACACCACATGCAAATTAGGAGACATTAATGCACCTTCCCAACTGTGGTGCGGAGAAGCCCAGGTTTCCAAAGTTAAGTTATTTTCTGAAAAGGACCTCTATCTGTTTAAATCAACAATCAAAACGCCTACCTATCACAACTCTGCGTTTATTGTCAATTGTTAACATCTTATCATCTTAACTTATTCCTGTTAGGTTATTTTCTCTGTGAATAACAAACAACTGATCAACATCCTGCCGTTGCCCTTCCTCCTTACCATATGTTTTGTTGTATTAAAATAGCCAATAGCTTTTGGTGGCGTACATCGATACATTGAGACTTGGAGGTGTAGGGATTTGGCCAATCAGCAAATCTGTTACTAAGCTTGTTCACAGGTCTGTGCAACAACAAGACGAGTATGGGACTAACTAGGCCTTCCTAAGCTGCGAGAAGGACCCATGTTTACCTACAGGGACAGTAATGGAAATAAAGGCTTAGCAGTCCAGATGGTTTTACTCAGCTGGGCTCAGATTTAAGCTGTTAAGTCTATTGCACCTTGGTGCTGGTTCATTACCTCCTGTCAATCTACTCACAGAGGTTAAAGGTGAGGGCTCATCTGGTCATGACAGCCAAGGACATGGTAAAGTTTACAAACACATCCTAATATTCCAACTACTTCGACAGCAATAGGTAAAAATCTGGTCTGAGTGTGCAGACACTAGTCACATACCCAGGGAACGGAACTGAGGCCGAATGGCATACATCAGAATTTGAAAAGACCTAGGTTACATGAAATTGGCAGTGTAAACAGTGCATAACATGCTACTTTGACATACAGTGCATTCGGAAAGTATTCAGGCCCCTTCACTTTTTCCACATTTTGTTACGTTACAGCCTTATTCTAAAATTGATTAAATAAATGTTTTTCCTCATCAATGTACACACAATATCCCATAATGACAACGCAAAAACAGGTTTTTAGAAATGTTTGCAAATGTATAAAAACACAACAACAGAAATACCTTATTTACATAAGTATTCATACCCTTTGCTATGAGACTCGAAATTGAGCTCAGGTGCATCCTGTTTCCATTGATCATCCTTGAGATGTTTCTACAACTTTATTGGAGTCCACCTATGGTAAATTCAATTGATTGGACATGATTTGGAAAGGCACACACCTGCCTATATAAAGGTCCCACAGTCGACATTGCATGTCAGAGCAAAAACCAAGCCATGAGGTCGAAGGAATTGTCCGTATAGCTCAGAGACAGGAATATGTCGAGGCACAGATTTGGGGAAGGGTACCAAAACATTTCTGCAGCATTGAAGGTCCCCAAGAACACAGTGGCCTCCATCATTCTTAAATGTAAGAAGTTTGGAACCACCAAGACTCTTCCTAGAGCTGGCTGCCCTGCCAAACTGAGCAATCGGGGGAGAAGGGCCTTGGTCAAGGAGCTGACCAAGAACCCGATGGTCACTCTGACAGAACTCCAGAGTTCCTCTGTGGAGATGGGAGAACCTTCCAGAAGGACAACAATATCTGCAGCACTCCACCAATCAGGCCTTTATGGTAGAGTATTTGTTTTTGTATTTATTATGGATCCCCATTAGCAGCTACTCTTCCTGGGGTCCAGCAAAATGAAGGCAGTTCATACAATTTTAAAAACATTACAATACATTCACAACACACACTTTGTGTCCTCAGGCCCACACTCCACCACTACCACATATCTACAGTACAGAAATCCATGTGTACGTGTGTGTATAGTGCGTATGTTATCATGTGTGTATATGCATGTGTCTGCGCCTATGCTTGTGTTGCTTCCCCGCTGTCCCATAAGGTGTTTTTTAAATCTAATTTTACTACTTGCATCAGTTACTTGATGTGGAATAGAGTTCCATGTAGTCATGGCTCTATGTAGTACTGTGCGCCTCCCGTAGTCTGTTCTGGACTTGGGGACTGTGAAGAGACCTCTGGTGGCATGTCTTGTGGGGTATGCATGGGTGACCGAGCTGTGCTGTTAAGAAGGTAGAGCAGCGCTTTATTATGGACATACTTCTCCCCATCTTAGCTACTGTTGTATCAATATGTTTTGACCATGACAGTTTACAATCCAGGGTTACTCCAAGCAGTTTAGTCACCTCAACTTGCTCAATTTCCACATTATTTATTACAATATTTAATTGAGGTTTAGGGTTTAGTGAATGATTTGTACCAAATACAATGCTTTTAGTTTTAGAAATATTTAGGACTAATTTATTCCTTGCCACCCACTCTGAAACTAACTGCAACTCTTTGTTAAATGTTGCAGTCATTTCAGTCGCTGTAGTAGCTGACATGTATAGTGTTGAGTCATCCACATACATACACACTCTGGCTTTACTCAAAGCCAGTGGCATGTCATTAGTAAAGATTGAAAAAAGTAATGTGCCTAGACAGCTGCCCTGGGGAATTCCTGATTCTACCTGGATTATGTTGGAGAGGCTTCCATTAAAGAACACCCTCTGTGTTATGTTAGACAGGTAACTCTGTATCCACAATATAGCAGGTGGAGTAAAGCCATAACACATACGTTTTTCCAGAAGCAGACTATGATTGATAATGTCAAAAGCCGCACTGAAGTCTAACAAAACAGCCCCCCACAATCTTTTTATCATCAATTTCTCTCAGCCAATCATCAGTCATTTGTGTAAGTGCTGTGCTTGTTGAATGTCCTTCTCTATAAGCATGCTGAAAGTTTGTTGTCCATTTGTTTACTATAAAATAGCATTGTATCTGGTCAAACACAATTCTTTCCAATAGTTTACTAAGGGTTGGTAACATGCTAATTGGTCGGCTATTTGAGCCAGTAAAGGGGACTTTACTATTTTTAGGTAGCGGAATGACTTTTGCTTCCCTCCAAGCCTGGGGGCACACACATTCTAGTAGGCTTAAATTGAAAATATGGCAAATAGGAGTGGCAATATCGTCCGCTATTATCCTCAGTAATTTTCCATCCAAGTTGTCAGACCCCGGTGGCTTGTCATTTTTGATAGACAACAATAATTATTTCACCTCTTCCACACTCACTTTACGGAATTCAAAATTACAATGCTTGTCTTTCATAATTTGGTCAGATATACTTGGATGTGTAGTGTCAGCAATTGGTGCTGGCATGTCATGCTTAAGTTTGCTAATCTTGCCAATGAAAAAAATCATTAAAGTAGTTGGCAATATTAGTTGGTTCTGTGACGAATGAGCCATCTGATTCAATGAATGATGGAGATGAGTTTGCCATTTTCCCCAAGATTTAATTGAAGGTGCTCCAAAGCTTTTTACTATCATTCTTTATGTCATTTATCTTTGTTTCATAGTGTAGTTTCTTATTATTTTTATTCAGTTTAGTCACATGATTTCTCAATTTGCAATACGTTTGCCAATCGGTTGTGCAGCCAGACTTATTTGCCATTCCTTTTGCCTCATCCCTCTCACCCATAACATTTTTCAATTCTTCATCAATCCATGGGGGTTTAACAGTTTTTACAGTCATTTTCTTAATGGGTGCATGCTTATTAGTAACTGGAATAAGCAATTTCATAAATGTGTCTGTTTGCTCCTCATTACACACCAAGGACCAACATATATTCTTTACATCAACAACATAGGAATCAATACAAAACTTATTGTATGACCTCTTATACACAATATTAGGCCCAGCCTTTGGAACTTTCCTTTTCCTAGATATGGCTACTATATTGTGATCACTACATCCAATGGATTTGGATACTGCTTTCAAACAAATCTCTGCAGCATTAGTAAAGATATGATCAATACATGTTGATGATTTAATTCCTGTACTGTTTATAACTAACCTGGTAGGTTGACTGATAACCTGAACAAGGTTGCAGGCACTGGTTACAGTTTGAAGCTTTCTCTTGAGTGGGCAGCCTGATGAAAGCCAGTCAATATTTAAAATCACCCAGAAAGTATACCTCTCTATTGATATCACATACATTATCAAGCATTTCACACATGTTATCCAGATACTGACTGTTAGCATTTGGTGGTCTATAGCAGCTTCCCACCAGAATGGGCTTTAGGTGAGGCAGATGAACCTGTAGCCATATTACTTAAACAGTATTTAACATGATATCCTCTCTAATCTTCACAGGAATGTGGTTCTGAATATAAACAGCAACACCTCCACCATTGGCATTCCTATATTTTCTGTAAATGTTATAACTTTGTATTGCTACCACTGTATCATCAAATGTATTATCTAAGTGAGTTTCAGAGATAGTCAGAATATGAATGTCATCTGTTACTAGCAAATTATTGATTTCATGAACTTTGTTTCTTATGCTACATATGTTAACGTGTGCTATTTTGAGCACTTTTCTTCTGGGATGCTTACTTGTTTTTATTGCTTTACTGGGATGCTTAGCAGCGGTAGATGTGGTCATGTTCTTTATGTTAGTGCAGGGTGAGCTGCACAGAGTGGACTTCCTCCTCGGGCACACCGGCTCAGTGCTAACAGTATAAATCTGGTTCTTAGACACATGATTACTGCATACAATTGCTGTAGGATCAGCAGAGGCATTCAGGGCAGTTAGAGGGACATACATTAGGTTACTTATATTGTGTCTACCGACACCCCTGGTGTAATGTACATTCGCTGAAGCATTTTGACAACTCTGCGTCACAATGGTAGGGATTAGCTGAGCTGTGCTTTGGTCAATGCTACAGTGAGGGAAAAAAGTATTTGATCCCCTGCTGATTTTGTACGTTTGCCCACTGACAAAGAAATGATCAGTCTATAATTTTAATGGTAGGTTTATTTGAACAGTGAGAGACAGAATAACAACAAATAAATCCAGAAAAACGCATGTCAAAAATGTTAAAATTGAGTTGCATTTTAATGAGGGAAATAAGTATTTGACCCCCCCCTCTCAATCAGATCAAATCATTGGAGTGCTTCATGCAAATGGCCAACAATCATAATGCATGAAGTATGCTGTATGTAACGCAATACCCTGAACTAATACATTCAATGCAGCGGGATTCTCCCCTGGTTATATTCTAGTGAGGCTTCGAGGGAAAGTTGAATGAGGAAGTAGAAAACAGCTAACGTGGATTATATAAGATACTGTACTCTTTAACAAACTCAAAAGACAACCAGAAATCTGCTGCTGTAATCATGACATCAAAATTATTGACAGGATACAGCCATTTTGTTTTTCCTTCAATATTTACGGGCTACACCATGTTTTCTTCTGAGCGACTAAACAGCAAACTGCACTAAACATGATCTTTGTTCCCCGTAAAGAATAACGTAATTTGGTTATTCCCAGAGCTGGTATTAATCAAATGTAATCTCTCTCTTGAACACACAGAGTTTGAGGAATGAGAGGAAAAAGTTAAGCATGGCAGAACTTGACACTACACATACAGTGAGGGAAAAACTGTTTGCCCACTGACAAAGAAATGATCAGGCTATAATTTTAATCGTAGGTTTATTTGAACAATGAGAGACAGAATAACAACAAAAAAATCCAGAAGAACGCATGTCAAAAATGTTATAAATTGATTTGCATTTTAATGAGGGAAATAAGTATTTGACCCCCTCTCAATCAGAAAGATTTCTGGCTCCCAGGTGTCTTTTATACAGGTAACGAGCTGAGATTAGGAGCACACTCTTAAAGGGAGTGCTCCTAATCTCAGCTTGTTACCTGTATAAAAGACACCTGTCCACAGAAGCAATCAATCAGATTCCAAACTCTCCACCATGGCCAAGACCAAAGAGCTCTCCAAGGATGTCAGGGACAAGATTGTAGACCTACACAAGGCTGGAATGGGCTACAAGACCATCGCCAAGCAGCTTGGTGAGAAGGTGACAACAGTTGGTGCGATTATTCACAAATGGAAGAAACACAAAATAACTCCCTCGGCCTGGGGCTCCATGCAAGATCTCACCTCGTGGAGTTGCAATGATCATGAGAACGGTGAGGAATCAGCCCAGAACTACACGGGAGGATCTTGTCAATGATCTCAAGGCAGCTGGGACCAGTCACCAAGAAAACAATTGGTAACACACTACGCCGTGAAGGACTGAAATCCTGCAGCGCCCGCAAGGTCCCCCTGCTCAAGAAAGCATATATACATGCCCGTCTGCAGTTTGCCAATGAACATCTGAATGATTCAGAGGAGAACTGGGTGAAAGTGTTGTGGTCAGATGAGACCAAAATGGAGCTCTTTGGCATCAACTCAACTCGCCGTGTTTGGAGGAGGAGGAATGCTGCCTATGACCCCAAGAACACCATCCCCACCGTCAAACATGGAGGTGGAAACATTATGCTTTGGGGGTGTTTTTCTGCTAAGGGGACAGGACAACTTCACCGCATTAAAGGGACGATGGACGGGGCCATGTACCGTCAAATCTTGGGTGAGAACCTCCTTCCCTCAGCCAGGGCATTGAAAATGGGTCGTGGATGGGTATTCCAGCATGACAATGACCCAAAACACACGGCCAAGGCAACAAAGGAGTGGCTCAAGAAGAAGCACATTAAGGTCCTGGAGTGGCCTAGCCAGTCTCCAGACCTTAATCCAAAACAAAATCTGTGGAGGGAGCTGAAGGTTCGAGTTGCCAAATGTCAGCCTCAAAACCTTAATGACTTGGAGAAGATCTGCAAAGAGGAGTGGAACAAAATCCCTCCTGAGATGTGTGCAAACCTGGTGGCCAACTACAAGAAACGTCTGACCTCTGTGATTGCCAACAAGGATTTTGCCACCAAGTACTAAGTCATGTTTTGCAGAGGGGTCAAATACTTATTTCCCTCATTAAAATGCAAATCAATTTATAACATTTTTGACATGCGTTCTTCTGGATTTTTTTGTTGTTATTCTGTCTCTCACTGTTCAAATAAACCTACCATTAAAATTATAGACTGATCATTTCTTTGTCAGTGGGCAAACATACAAAATCAGCAGGGGATCAAGAGCCAGTTGTGAAGAGCAAGAATCCTGCTAAAGCGTTCAATGCCACGATTCAGAGAGGGCACAGGGCCAGATATGATGGTTTTTTTGTTAGTATCTAGCAGAGAGTCAATCAGTTCTTTAAAATCCAGTTTCAACTGTTCAGAGCTGCCCTTCATAATGTAATTAAAACCCACATGGACTACGATAGAATCGATTTCCATGTCCTGCCTTAGTACATTCGGGAGCAGTTTAGTAATGTCATTTACTCGAGCTCCGGGATAGGACATTGTTTTTGCACCAGGAACGGTCACATTTCTTACCATGGAGCTGCCCAAAATCACGGCTGGCGAGAAGGACGAGGAAATCCGCCCACTCCCCCGCTTCACAGGATGCAGGCCTCCGACAGATGGAGAAGCCCCGCTCGATCCAGAGCAGGGACGGAAGGTTGCCGACATTGACGGATGCCACTCCACAGTAAAAGGCACGTGACAGCCCGCTTGGAGTTTGCCAAAAGGCACCTAAAGGACTCTCAGACCATGAGAAAGAAGATTCTCTGGTCTGTTGAAACCAAGATTGAACTCTTTGGCCTGAATGCCAAGCGTCACATCTGGAGGAAACCAGGCACCGCTCATCACCTGGCCAATACCATCCCTACGGTGAAGCATGGTTGTGGCAGCATCATGCTGTGGGGATGCTTTTCAGCAGCAGGAACTGGGAGACTAGTCAGGTTCGAGGGAAAGATGAATGGCGCAAAGTACAGAGAGATCCTTGATGAAAACCTGCTCCAGAGAGCTCAGGACCTCAGACTGGGGCGAAGGTTCACCTTCCAACAGGACAACGACCCTAAGCACACAGCCAAGACAATGCAGAAGTGGCTTCGGAACAAGTCCCTGAATGTCCTTGAGTGGCCCAGCCAGAGCCCGGACTTGAACCTGATTGAACATCTCTGGAGAGACCTGAAAATAGCTCCCCAACCTGACAGAGCTTGAGAGATCTGCAGAGACGAATGGGAGAAACTCCCCAAATACAGGTGTGCCAAGCGTGTAGCGTCATACCCAAGAAGACTCGAGGCTGTAACCGCTGCCAAAGATGCTTCAACAAAGTACTGAGTAACGGGTCTGAATATTCATGTAAATGTGATATTTCCGGGTATATATATATATATATATATATATATATATATATATATATATATATTTTAGAATAAGGCTGTAACGTAACAAAATGTGGAAAAAGTGAAGGGGTCTGAATACTTTACGAATGCACTATATAACAACAACTTTAATATTTACTTGACAACAATTTTCTGACCACAATCTGTAATGAGAGACAGTAGAGAGATTTGACTCACTGTCAGGATGCCAGCCATCTGAGTATAGAAGAGGCTGCTCATGCCGGCAAACATCACCAGACCCATGATCGCAGACACTCGTATCAGGGCGAGCTCATGACGTGCCATAAACGCCTCCTATGAGAGAACAATCAGAAGAGGCCAAAGTCAACTTCACAGCACCATGCACATACCCCCATCCTCCTTTCACACATTCAGCATACCATCTCTATTCAAATATTAATCATCAAAGCATAGATGGGAGAGCGTTTTTTATGCGTCTGACAGACAGGTATCTGTGAGATCTTGATTACATACTTTCCAAGGAAATTGTCAAATCTTGATTTAGAATTAAAAAAGTCATCAAAAACGTTGACGAAATGCTTCCTTGTGATCGCTTTTACCAAATAAAACCAAGTGTTGAAACCAAGCCATGTAGGGTTCTGTCCGGTGATGAATTCCTTGAATTCATTCTAGTTCAGTGTTGATAAGGCCTCACTTTTCATTCTTGACTTTACCTGGTCCAATGTGGTTAAGGGCTGGAAGTAATAGTACTGGCAGAAGTCCAGAGCCAGGGTGAACAAACTGAGGACCTGTGTGTAAAAACAAAGCTGCAAGAAGAGCCAGTGGTTGTCCTCCCCTACGCAATTATTAATCCTGCCAGGAGACAAGAGGGAGAAAATATACATTTTACAGGACTTCTCATAGGCCTAGTTACAAGCTAGTCAAATATTAAGCAGATTTTCCTAAGAGGATAAACAGATATATAGGCATAAACCATTAAATGAACCGTCTATTGGTTTTAGCAATATATGGCAAATGGCAATCCTGGGGGTGCTGCTAGAGAAGAGGTGCAGGGCGGGGTGTAAATACTGTGGAGTTGGCCCCCTCCCATGGCCGATTCGGGGAAAGACAATATCACCGTCAGTTTCCCCCCACAATGAGCTGCCCTGTATCGCTGAATCTCCTAGGGGAGTGACAGACAGGTCTGAAACATTACCATGGACAGTGGTGGTCCATTTTGCGTACACAGTGGCCACAACGGCTGCAGTGGTGGGACCTTTTTGGTCTCATCATGTTGCACTTGCTACACATTTCCCACTGCTCTCGCTCTGAAACAAAGTAACAAAAAAAGTCTCCATGTCATGACTGACCATGTCAAATGATATACTTTTGTCATATAAAAAACCTTATCAGTGGATCTTATATCCGTATTCATGACACAGAGGCAGAGGCTGTGGAATGTCACATTACCTGAGTGAGGGATGTGGGGGTCGGCTGGGAGTCTGCCAGGGTCAGCTGTAGAAGCTCTAAAAAGTGCTGCCATACAGAAGGCTGATGCTAAGTAGTAACCTGGGAGGAGAGGAACAGGAAGACTATAGCAGTTAAAGTCTTTGATTAAGCAGAAATAACTCAACACCTGGACTGTGGGATTGATACTCACTGACAACCAAGGCCCAGGGGATATGCCCCTCAATTAAATGGGGAAGCAGCACCAACTTGGGGACGAAGAAGGAGTTGTAGAGCCAGATGGCGAACACCATACTGATGCAGAACCAGCCCATGGGGTCCACCACAAAGTGCAGCCGAAGCTTCATGGTTCCTGTGACTTGGGGACACAGAGAGACGAAGTGTCATAACCTTCCCTGGAGAAAAAGATATGGATAATGGACATCTTATGATCAGTGTTAATAAATAGGTTAGGTTGCACCTGTGAAGGTCTTACTCAATAATCATTGAGCTCATAGTCAATGTTATCTAACTTTCTCATACTCTTATGACTCTTATCGGAGGTGTGTGTATATCATGAACCAATGATGAAATGTTAGTGTACACCCCCCACCCATAAATCACATGATGATACACACACACACACCACAGGAGGTTGGTGGCACTTTAATTGGGGAGGACTGGCTCATGTTAATGGTGGAGCAGAATAGTGGAATGGTATCGATGCCATTCCATTTGCTCTGTTCCGGCCATTATTATGAGCCGTCCTGCCCTCAGCAGCCTCCACTGACACACACACAACTGAACAATAATGTAAAACATTCTGATTGTACCTTAACATACTGACACTTCACATTTTAGTCATTTAGCAGACGCTCTTATCCAGAGCGACTTACAGTTAGTGAGTGCATACATTTTCATACTGGCCCCCCGTGGGAAACGAACCCACAACCCTGGCGTTGCAAGCGCTATGCTCTACCAACTGAGCTACAGGGGACTTTACTAGCTAGCTAGTTACATATTGCTGAAAGTAGATAATGTCAAGCATACAGGTAGACGGTAACGTGAGACGCATTACAAATATATTGATAGCTAGCGAGCTTTTCTGACAGGTAGCTAGCTAGCTAAGTGCGGGCTTGGTTTTTGTAGGTAGATAGCTAGCTAGCAGTAACAGCTCAAAATGTAGCTAGCTATCACATTACTTTAGTTACTCCACCTACAAGTCAAGCTGGGGATATCTATTCCTAAAATTCAGAGGAATACCCACTTATTATCGCTGTCTTTTTCAATGAGACCACCGGTTCAGTTCTTCTAGTGGGGTACTTCCGTGGAGATGCGTCTACAGAAATATGCTGTGACTGTGTTGTGATTTGCTGTCAAAAACATGAGTCCTGCTGCCACCTACTGGACGTGCTTTCGAACTTATTTTGTAGAATGTATTTTTTTGTAAGCCAAATAAAACATTATTCTGATAGTGTTATTTGTATGATTTATCTAAAAATATATATAATTGCAAAAAATCAATGTAATTGTCCCAGCATGCGATCTGAGGTCAAGGTTGATTTTGCCTTTCTACTTCCGCCTTACTTAACCGGCCGATTGCTTGTTGACAAGGAACGCCACTTCTCTGCTTAGAAGTTACGATTAAAACATTGTGATATTGGTGATAAAATGGCATCGCCTAACTCATATAAGCTAAGGTGCTCCATACCTGGCCATGAAATGGATGTTAGAGGTCTTGCAGCTGCTTTTTTCCCTGAAGGAGCCTTTATGTCTGTTTCCAGAGACCGAACCGGAAGAGTCTGGGTACCAAACTCAAGGTACCGTTGGTTAGCTAATTTAGCTTAGCTCAAAAGACATTTAATGTGTTTATCTCACCATTTTAATGTCGTAAAGATAATAATTTACCAGCCCTTAGCCACACATATATCGATGCCCCTCTCAATTTACCATAACCATAATTTCAAGGCAAACCAAGAAGGCTCTGCTAACGGATACTAGCTAGCTAGCTAACATAATTAGCGTTGTCATTCACTCAACTGAACTGTGCAACCAAACCACACTATGGTGTGGAAGTGTGGTTTCACTTCTGATATTCCCCCATTAATAACATTGATGTCACACAAACTGTACGGGACACAAACGTGACACAAGTTTTCTAAACCTTGAATGACAATCTATGCGCACAAGGTTTCTCTAGGCCATATGGCTAGTACAGTACTAATTTTATAGCTAACAGTAAGCTTTTGTATAAAGCTAGTCACTGGAAGAAGCCAGAGACTGTTCAGAATTACTAGATTTAACACCACATTGTTGCTGTTGTCCTGCTCTGTGTTTTCAATGTAATCCAATGTAACTTTAAATAGCATATGTTCTGTGTCGAATTCTGTCTACAGCCCAGACAGGGGGTTCACAGAAATGCATTGTATGACAGGCCATCAGAACTTTGTATCCTGTGTATGCATCATTCCGCCCAGCGACACGTATCCTCGGGGACTCATAGCCACAGGTGGAAACGACCACAACATCTGTGTTTTTACACTGGACCAACCACAACCATTGGTCACTCTCAAGGGACACAAAAACACAGGTATAGTTGATATACTGTTGATGCAGGTAGCCTAGCAGGTTGCTGGTTCAAATCTTCGAGCCGACTAGGTGAAACATCTGTCGATGTGCCTTGAGCAAGGCACTTAACTCTAATTGCTCCTGTTAGTTGTTCTGGATAAGAGCGTCTGCTAAATGACTGAAATGTAATGCATCATTGTGGAACAACTAACTCAACTTGACCACTTAAAATACCAACTTGGTCTGATGACGCTTTCGTTGTGTATAACTAGAAACTGTCCATGTTATGTATGTCCACAGTGTGTGCACTGTCCTCTGGGAAGTTTGGAACACTACTGAGTGGCTCATGGGACACCACAGTAAAAGTCTGGCTCAACGAGAAGTGCATGATGACCTTACAGGTAAAGTGTCTGAGAATTGTCTATAGTAATTTTGATCTGGGTCATGTTCAGTTGGGCTCACTGTAGCAAAACGTTTTGCAACAAAATGAAAATCTGTGTTCTAATTGGATAAGTTTCAAAACGTTTTCTCCCTGCTGAACACAACCCAGGTGAGTGACCATGGCAAGAGCACGCACCCCTGAGGGGCCCCGTGTTGAGGATCAGCGTGCCAGATGTGTTGTTACCTACCCTTACCACCTGGGGGCGGCCCGTCAGGAAGTCGAGGATCCAGTTGCAGAGAGAGGTCCTTAGCTTAGTGATGAGCTTTGAGGGCACTATGGTGTGATTGCGTCATCTGTGGATCTGTTGGGGCGGTATGCAAATTAGAGTGGTTCTAGGGTTTCTGGGATAATGGTGTTGATTTGAGCCCTGACCAGCCTTTCAATGCACTTCATGGCTACAGACGTGAGTGCTACGGGACTATGGTGGTCTGCTTGAAACATGTTGGTATTACAGACTCAGTCATGGACAGGTTGATAATGTCAGTGAAGACACTTCCCAGTTGGTCAGCGCATGCTCCGAGTACACGTCCTGGTAATCCGTCTGGCCCTGTGGCCTTGTGAATGTTGACCTGTTTAAAGGTCTTAGTCACATCGGCTACGGAGAGCGTGATCACACAGTCGACCGGAACAGCTGATGCTCTCATGCATGCTTCAGTGTTGCTTGCCTCAAAGCGAGCACAGAAGTTATTTCGCTCAACTGGTAGGCTCGTGTCACTGGGCAGCTCGTGGCTGTGCTTCCATTTGTAGTCTGTAATAGTTTGCAAGCACTACCCTTTAGCTCAGTGCGGATGTTGCCTGTCATCCATGGCTTCTGGTTGGGGTATGTACGTACGGTCACTGTGGAGACGACGTCATCGATGCCCTTATTGATGAAGCAAGTGACTGATGTGGTGTACTCCTCAATGCCATCGGAAGAATCACGGAACATATTCCAGTCCTGTAGCTTAGCATCTGCGTCATCTGACCACTTCTTTATTGACCGAGTCACTGGTGCTTCCTGCTTCAGTTTTTTTGCTTGTAAGCAGGAATCAGGAGGATAGAATTATGGTCAGAGTTGCCAAATGGAGAGTGAGGGAGAGCTTTGTATGCGTCTCTGTGTGTGGAGTAAAGGTGGTCTAGAGTTTTTAATTTTTATTTAACATGCTGGTAGAAATGAGGTAAAAATGGATTTAAGTTTCCCTGCATTAAAGTCCCCAGCACTAGGAGCGCCGCCTCTGGATGAGCGTTTCCTTGTTTGCTTATGGCCTTATACAGCTCATTGAGTGCGGTCTTAGTGCCAGCATCGGTTTGTGGTGGTAAATAGACAGCTACGAAAAATATAGATGAAAACTCTCTTGGTAAATAGTGTGGTCTATAGCTTATCATGAGATACTCTACCTCAGGGGAGCAAAACCTTGAGGAAATGAATGCGGTTTTTAGAGAAAAGCGAGTTGATTTTGTTTAGTTAATTTCTTTTTTGGTAGTTTGTATGATATTTATTTATTTTTACCCAAATGTTTTCCTTTTTTGGGATCCTTATTCTCCACTCGCACAGTAGGTGGTGGAATGCACATTTAATTGTTGCGAACGCCGTCATACCATAGAAGAAGAATGAGAGGGGGAGCGATAGAGAAATATACTTAGAGGAAGGGGGAGAGCCATCAACAGCTGCTTGATATTATTGGGGTAGGAGGAAGAATGTACAACTGGATAAAGGATTTCCTGTTTAGAAGGTCTATCCAGGTGAGGGTGGGGAAGTCTCTATCAGGCAGATACCTGGTGGATAACGGTACACCACAGAGGAGCGTGATTAGTCCTCTGTTGTTCTCAATCATGATCAATGATGTTTACTCAGGTACAGCCAGATATAGGGAGGTCGTTATTTACAGATGATGGTGCCTTATGGAAGAGGGGAAGAAATGTGCCATACATAGTCAGGAAGGTACAGGAAGCAATTGATGGGGTAGAGCGATGGGCATTAATGTGGGGATTCATGTTCTCTGTAGAGAAAACTCAAACAGTGTTCTTTACCAGGTGGGAGATGAGGTATGCTTGAGGTTATATGGGAGAAACTTGGAGAGGGTGGGGGCCTTCAGGTTCCTTGGGGTATACTTTGACACTAGACTGACCTGGGCAGAACACATTGAGAGAGTGGTGGGAAAGTGTAAGAAGGTGCTAAATGTGATGCGCCGTCTGACGGGGAAGCAGTGGGGGGCTGGGCGTTCCTCATTGAAGACCATGTATGTTGCATTGATCCGATCTGTAATATACTATGGCAGTATAGCATATGGTTCGGCAGCCCAGACCTCATTGGAAAGGCTAGATGTCATAAAGGGGCAAGGACTCAAAATATGTAGTGGGGCGTTTCGGACGTCCCCAGTGGCTGCATTACAGGTGGAGATGGGGGATATGCCATTGCAGATTAGGAGACAGCAGCAGGCAATGAATTATTGGGTCAACCTACAAGGACATGGGGTGTCTCATCCTGCGAAAGGGATTTTACAGGCATGCTGGGAACATGAGCGAAGACCGAACACAAGCTTTGGGTGGGTGGGTAATACCCAGGCAAAGGAGATGGGACTGTATGGAAGGGAGTTTAGTCCAATGGTAGCTATTCCTATAAATCCACCATGGCTACTCCTGCCTCCAGTAGTTGATCCAGAAGTGTTGGAGAGACTACAGAAAGATCGGAAGGGTGTTGATCCATCAGACGTCTGGATACTGTGTATCAGGATTTTGTGGCCATATACACAGATGGTTCAAAGGATCCAAGGACAGGACATACTGGGTCAGCATTTGAAGTGCAGGAATGTGGGGTGGAAGTCAGGAAAAGTATTACAGATCATCTGGCTGTATATACGGCGGAGCTGATGGCCATACTGTTGGCCTTCCAGTGGGTGGAGGAAGTCAAACAAGACAGAGTAGTTATTTGCTCTGATTCATGTGCAGTGTTAATGAGTCTCCAGTCCTTTAGCTCACGTAGCAGACAAGACCTGCTTTATGAGGTGCTACAAACCCATGGCAGGTAGCTTAGTGGGTAAGAGCGTTGTGCCAGTAACCGAAAGGTCGCTGGTTCTAATCCCCGAGCCGACTACGTGAAAAATCTGTCGATGTGCCCTTAAGCAAGGCACTTAACCCTAATTGCTCCTGTAAGTCGCTTTGGATAAGAGCATCTGCTAAATGACAAAAAAAAAAGTTGTGCTCTTTGTATTCTAGGGACACACAGCAGCAGTGTGGGCGGTGGTCATATTACCTGAACAAGGCCTCATGCTGTCTGGATCAGCTGACAAGACCATCAAGCTGTGGAAGGCTGGACGTTGTGAGAAGACATTTACGGGTGAGAGATTAATGCACCCACTACCCACGGTGCCCTCAATAAATATTGTGTTAAATGTCCTTGTCCGTCCCAGGTCACGAGGACTGTGTCAGGGGGTTAGCGGTGGTCAGCGACCTGGAATTCTTCTCCTGCAGCAACGACGCCAGCATCAGGAGATGGCTGGTGACTGGAGAATGTGTGCAGGTATACTACAGCCACACCAACTACATCTACAGCCTGGCCGTCTTCCCCAATGGACAAGGTACAGTATGGACGACTGAACCCTGAGAATCTACTAGTGCCCTGTTTGTGGAACCACTATGCCCTAGGAAAGTGTATTGTAATCTATAGGCTGATCCGCTCCTACTTAAATGTATTTTGGTATATCATTTCTAAATAGTTAACAGAACCTTTTGTATTGTTATTGGCCGCCTACTTGTCATCTTTTTTTGTGATTCATATTGTCGAAAAGATAACTCCTGCACACACAATATTATCTCTGCACATTTACTGTGTTGACGTTTCCGTCAGATACATTCTTCTAGACAATTTGTTGGTGCTCCCCTTCCTTCTCAGATTTCATAAGCACAGGAGAGGACCGGACCTTGAGGATATGGAAGCAGGGCGACTGCCAACAGACCATCCGTCTCCCAGCCCAGTCCGTGTGGTGCTGTTGCATCCTGCCCAACGGGGATATAGCTGTGGGCGCCAGGTAAACCCCAAACCCAACTGTCTATTTATTTTGCCGCATATGGGCACCTATACTGCTACTGCACCGAAATTATAATCCAAGTACAAAATCTTCTCCTTGGTGTATGCTCATACAAGATGGCGATGCCCCCTACCTCCTTATAGCTTCACACACAAGGTAAACAAAGGTAAACATAGTTGGAGGTGAGGTGAGAGCGATGTTTATTATATGACCTTGCTTTTGTGTCACCGGTCGTGTTATTTGCCGTACAGTGATGGCCTCATCAGAGTGTTCACTGAGGTGGAAGATCGTATGGCCAGCCCCCAGGACCTCCAGGCCTTCGAGGACGAGCTCTCCAAGACAACCATCGACCCCAAGACAGGGGACCTGGGGGACATCAAGATGGAGGATCTTCCAGGAAAGGAGCACCTCGAGGAGCCTGGTAAATTTATTTGTATCTGCATGTTCTATTATGTTATTCCATTCCACTATATACAGTGAGCTCCAAAGGTTGGCTCTGTACATTGAAATGATACAATGACTATGAGGTTAAAGTGCAGACTGTCAGCTTTAATTTGAGGGTATTTTCATCCATATCGGGTGTACCGTTTAGAAATTGCAGCACTTTTTGTACATAGTCCCCCCATTTTAGGGGACCAAAAGTATTGGGACAAATTCACTTATGTGTATTAAGGTAGTCAAAAGTTTAGTATTTGGTCCCATATTCCTAACACGCAATGATTACATCAAGCTTGTGACTCTACAAACTTGTTGGATGCATTAGCTGTTTGTTTTGGTTGTGTTTCAGATTATTTTGTGGCCAATAGAAATGAATGGTAAATAATGTATAGTCATTTTGGAGTCACTTTTATTGTAAATAAGGATAGAATATGTTTCTAAACACTTCTACATTAATGTGGATGCTACCATGATTATGGATAGTCATGAATAAATCGTGAATAATGATGAGTGAGAAAGTTACAGATGCACAAATATCAAACCCCCATTTTATGGGGGGTATGATATTTGTGCCAAATCCAAAGTCCTGGAGTACAGAGCCAAAACCCCCAAAAAAAATGTCACTGTCCCAATACTTTTGGAGCTCACTGTATGTATTGATACCTACAGTCAGGTCCAAAATTATTGGCACCCTTGATAAAGATGAGCAAAAAATACAGAGCTACTGTATTTTGTATGCATTTTTTTGTTGTTGAAAATTCTATTATTTCATACTCATACAATTGCTCAGAGAAAGAGATTTTGTTTAACAAGTAAGATTTTTTTCTCTCAAAAAGATAGGGGTCAAATTATTGGCACCCCTGTTTTCAATACCTTTCAATACATCTCCTTGCGAGGATAATGATAATGAGATTGGAGAACACATTGGCAAGGATCTTAGACCATTCCTCCATATATGGAATATCCGAGTTTCAGCCTCCTGGCAGAGGCAACCAGGTTTTTGGCAAAAGTTTCCTGGTACTGGGTAAAGTTCATGATGTTGTTGACCTTAACAAGGCCCCTAGGACCAGTGGAAGCAAAATAGCCCCATAACATCAAAGATCCATCACCAAATTTTACAGTAGGAATGGGGTTATTTTCTGCTTATGCATCTTTCTTTCGACGCAAAACCCACCACTGGTGTGTATGGCCAAAGAGCTGTATGTCATCTGACCTTAGCACCGGTTCCAATCCAAGTGCCAATGCCGTTAAGCAAACTCCAGGTGTTTACATTTGTTTGATGACATGAAAATAGAGCTCTTTGGCCACGCACACCTCACAAGGTGAGGTATTGAAAACAGGTGTGACAATCATTTTGAGACCTATCTTTTTGAGAAAAATTACAATTCTTGTTAAACAAAATGTATTTCTCTGAGCAATTGTATTAGTATAAAATAAAAATGCATACAGAACATATTCATACCCCTTGACTTGTTCAACATTTTGTTGTGTTACAGCCTGAATTCAAAATGGATTAAATATTTGTTTTTCTCTCACCCATCTACACACAATACCCCATAATGACAAAGTGAAAACATGTTTTTAGAACTTTTTTCAAATGAAATACAGAAATATATATTTTGCATAAGTATTCACACCCCTGAGTCAATACTTTCTAGAAGCATCTTTGGCAGCGATTACAGCTGTGGTCTTTCTGGGTAAGTCTCTTAAGAGCTTTCCACACCTGGATTGTGCAACATTTGTCCATTTATTCTTTTAAAAATGCTTCAAGCTCTGTCAAATTGGTTGTTGATCATTGCTAGACAACCATTTTTAGGTCTTGCCATAAACTTGCAAGTAGATTTCAGTCAAGACTGCAACTCGGCCACTCAGGAACATTCACTGTCTTCTTGGTGTGCAACTTGGTGTGCAACTTTATCCTGAAAAACTCCCCAGTCCTTAATGATTACAAGCATACCCATACCATGATGCAGCCACCACTATGCTTGAAAATATGGAGAGTGGTACTCAGTCATGTGTTGTATTTGATTTGCCCAAAACATAACACTCTGTTTTCAGGCCAAAAAGTGAATTGCTTTGCCACATTTTTTGCAGTGTTACTTTAGTGCCTTGATGCAAGTTTTTGAATATTTTTTGTTCTGTACAGGGTTCCTTTTCACTGTCAATTAGGTTAGTATTGTGGAGGAACCTAATGTTGTTGTTCTGTTCTCAGTTTTCTCCTATCACAACCATTAAACTCTGTAACTGTTTAAAGTCACCATTGGCCTCATGGTGAAATCCCTGAGCGGTTTCCTTCCTCTCTGGCAACTGAGTTAGGAAGGACACCTGTATCTTTGTTGTGACTGGGTGTATTGATACACCATCCAAAGTCTAATTAATAACTTCACCATGCTCAAAGGGATATTCAATAGCTGCTTTTTTATTTATACCCATCTACCAATTCGTGCCCTTCTTTGTGAGGCATTGGAAAACCTCCCTGGTCTTTGTGGGTGAATCTGTGTTTGAAATTCACTGCTCGATTGAGGGACCTTACAGATAATTGTATGTGTAGTTACAGAGATGAGGTAGTCATTGAAAAAATCATGTTAAACACTATTATTGCACACAGTGAGTCCATGCAACTTATGTGACTTGTTTTTACTCCTGAACTTATTTCGGCTTGCCATAACAAAGGGATTGAATACTTAAGGGAAAAAACAGCTCAATTTAATCCATTTTAAATTCAGGCTGTAACACAACAAAATGTGGAAAAAGTCAAAGGGTGTGAATACTTTCTGAGGGCACTGTAGCTATTTGTATTATTTAATTAATTGTTTTTTTTGCTTATCTTTATCAAGGGTGCCAATAACTTTGGACTTGACTGTATATATTCAATTAACATAAACTATAAAAACATTACATGCACAACATCACTGTTTGGCTATTATAGTTTTTTTAATGTACAGTCCCTGGTCACTGACATCTTACATGAATGATAAACTTATTTGACCAATCATCAAGCTTTAGTAAAACCTGCACAACTAAAAACCACAGATGCACATGGAAGTGGAGTAATCCAGAAAGCCCCCTTGTTGTATTGTAGTGTATACAGTATGATTACACATTAAGATGTCTGTGTGTCTGTCTCCCAGGGAATCGGGACGGCCAGACACGGCTTATCAAAGAGGGCCAGAACGTGGAGGCGTACCAGTGGAGCGTGGCCGACAGCCGCTGGATGAAGATTGGAGATGTGGTGGGAGGGTCCAACCAGCAGACCTCCAAGAAAGTCAACTATGAGGGAAAGGTGAGGCGCACCCCAACGTTGGGTGAATGATGATATCAATAGATAGAATCTTAATTGTCCTACAATACAATTCTGGTGAGCTAAGTCCAGAGTACAGACGCAAGGCATAAGTGATTTTCATCTCCACTTTTAACTGAGGCGAGCTGTCACACAGTGAATCTCTCAACACAGGTCCAACCCATTTCTGAATGATTTTCCAGGAGTATGACTTTGTCTTCACCATCGACATCAACGAGGGTGGCCCGTCCATGAAGCTGCCCTACAACATAACAGATGACCCCTGGCTGACAGCTCACAACTTCCTGCAGAAGAACGAGCTCAGCCCCATGTTCCTGGACCAGGTGGCCAACTTCATCATCGAGAACACCAAAGGACACACCTTGGGAGCCTCCCCGCCCAGCGCTGCCGACCCATTCACTGGTAGGGCCACTGAACCATCTTCATACTATAGGCTGCTACATGACATGTTTAGACTCTTAACACACACCGCGTGCAAAGTTACTGTAATATTTGAAATAGACCGGCCCAGCCCAGTAGTATCAACCCATTCACTGGCCATTTTCTCTCTATAGGGTACACTTAGGATGATCTTTCCCTCTTCTAACACACAGTGCGCAAAGGTTACCGTAACATTTGAAATAGACAGGTCATGGCAAATCAAATTGAGTTTGGAATACCACACTAACTGTATTTTCACCCACCTTTTATCATGTTCACCATTAGGCTCAGGCCGATACATTCCTGGAGCTGCTGACAACAGAGCAGGCTTTGGGGCTGACCCCTTCACAGGTAAATAAACACAAATATCATTTTCTTGTAGATTTCAGTTTGATGAGGACATCCTGTGCTAATACATTATTATGGCCTTTTCCCCAGGCACTGGGCGGTACATCCCAGGATCGGGGACTCCTACAGGGGCTCCGGTGGGCGTGGCAGACCCCTTCACAGGTTAGTCACTATAGCAACTCCTTCAATGTCTAGGGTTCAATAAAAGGTTGCATTAACACTCAAACCTGTTTTTTCCCCCAAGATAATTACATATAAAAGACAAAACCCAATAAACTGCTAAAGCAGAATGATTTTGTTTGGTTGAGAGTAGGGCTAACACTTCTAACCCCCCCTCTTGTCTTCCCAGTTAGGGTGCCTACTCGTCGACTGCCCGAGGGCAGACCCCACACATCTACTTCCAAAAACGGACGGGGTGCCTTGAGCAGGCTAACGCCAACAGATAATGGGTAAGTAAGTAATCACTGAACAAACATGATCCCTTGATATTTTATTATATATTTTATCATACTAAGCAGAAATAATCATGCTATTTATTAGCGTACAAACTGATCACCCATCAATTGTGGCTGAACTGAAATAATGTGTATAGCTATATGGAAACCTTACGACAGTAATTTTACATTTACATTTTAGTCTTTATGGCATACGCTCTTCTCCCAAAGCGCTTACGGAGCAATTAGGGTTAGTGCCTTTGCTTAAGGCACATCGACGATTTTTTTCACCTATACATACCGGGTATTACCTCCCGATTTGCGCATGGTCTAAGGCCTTGCATCGCAGTGCTCGCTGTGCCACTAGAGATCCTGGTTCGAATCCAGGCTCTGTCGTAGCCGGCCGCGACCGGGAGACACATGGGGCGGCGCACAATTGGCCCAGCGTCGTCCAGGGTAGGGGAGGGGAATGGCCGGCAGGGATGTTGGTAGAGCATGGCATTTGCAACGCAAGGATTGTGGGTTCGATTCCCACATGAAAAAAATAATATCTATAATGTATGCACTCACTAACTGTAAGTCGATCTGGATAAGAGCGTCTGCTAAATGACGTAAATGTAAAATGTATTACAAAGTGTCTGTTTCATTCTGAATAGCGCCTCTGTATATTAACGTTGCCCTTCCACCAGCCAAACTGAAGGAGCTGAACAGTGGGGCCCCTGGGGAATACAGGCTGTCTGAAGAGGTGCTGGGGAGCCTGGAGAAGCTGCTGGTGTCTGTCTGTGACCCCCACGCCTCAGAGCAGCCCACCACAGAGCAGATCAGTCTGCTCTGGAAGACCTCCCACTGGCCAGAAGGTAGGCTACCACACATCTTAGACAGGATTTGGGTTTATCCCACTAGACTAGTGCAGAGGTGGGCAATTCTGATCCTGGCGAGCCGCAATGTGTGCAGGCTTTTGCTTCCAGTCACTAGCACACCTGATTTATACTGAACAAAAATATAAATGCAACATGTAAAGTGTTGGTCCCATGTTTCATGAGCTGAAATAAAAGATCAAAGACATTTTCCATATGCACAAAAAGCTTATTTCTCTCAAATTGTGGCCAAATTGGTTTACATCCCTGTTAGTGAGCATTTCTCCTTTGCCAAGATAATCCATCCCCCTGACAGGTGTGGCATATCAAGAAGCTGATTAAAAAGCATGATCATTACACAGGTGCACCTTTTGCTTGGTACAGTAGAAGTCCACTTTAAAATGTGCAGTTTTGTCACACAACACAATGCCGCAGATGTCTCAGGTTTTGAGGGAGCGTGCAATTGGCATGCTGACTGCAGGAATGTCCACCAGAGCTGTTGCCAGAGAATTGAATGTTCATTTCTCTACCATAAGCCGCCTCCAACTTCGATTTAGAGAATTTGGCAGTACGTCCAACCGGCCTCACAACCACAGACCACACCAGCCCAGGACCTCCACATCCGGCTTATACACCTGCGGGATCGTCTGAGACCAGCCACCCGGACAGCTGATGAAACTGTGAGTTTGCACAACCAATGAATTTCTGCAGAAACTGTCTCAGGGAAGCTCATCTGCTTGCTCGTCTTCCTCACCTGACTAGTTCGGCTTCATTGGGCAAATGCTCACCTTCGATGGCCACTGGCACGCTGGAGAAGTGTGCTCTTCATGGATGAATCACAGTTTCAACTGTACCAGGCAGATGGCAGACACCGTGTATGGCGTCGTGTGGGCGAGTGGTTTGCTGATGTCAACGTTGTGTACAGAGTGCCCCATGCTGGCGGTGGGGTTATGGTATGGGGAGGCATAAGCTACGGACAGCCCAGGACCGACACATCCGGCTTCTTCATCTGCGGGATCGTCTGGGGGGCGGGCAAGGTAGGGCTGGGCGATATGGCCAAAATATCATATCACTGTATTTTTTAAAACATTTGACGGTATGACTGTATTTGACGGTATTTTATGTTTTTTTTTTGCTTTATGAGTAGTGAGTGACCATTGGGTGGCAACACATACATTCTAAGTGATTTCAATGGGTCTTTCTCCATTCTGAATGTTTTATACTGTTCAATTCAACTTTTCAACTGTTCAATAAAAAATGTCTGCATTTCCATCAATTTCTGCATTTCCTGCACTCATTTGAGATCATTTCCACACTGCCACATAGGGCTGAACAATATGGGCAAACAATCTAGGCCTTATTTTTAACCACTTTAACACTTGGGTGAACTGTTGGAATCATGGAAATAGAATGATTATTCAAGTTGTATAGTTAGAATATAATAGTGGGCAGTGTTTGACATGACAACAAATGATAATGCCAGAGAGGAGTTTTTGTGACAGGGTAGGAACCAAAGTGTTGACAAGTGTTTCCTAGGGGGCCCTATACTCTTGGGCTACATTTTAGCTACTTCATGTAGCTAACATATTCTTGCTTTGGTATTTGATTTAGAAGATACTGTTGCACAAACAACATGCTGATTTAGGTCTTCACCATCACTGGTATTATCAGGCTGTATAGCTAATTATGTTTGCTCTGACATTTATTAGCTGGCTAGCAATTAGCATTAACAGCTAACAGGATTTAGGTCCAACTTACTAAGAAAAGACAGACTAGCTGTTTGCAGATGTAAGAAATACAAATTGAAAACAGCATCTTTGTCATCAACATTGTTGCATGTGCAGCAATGACCATGCAGCGCCCTTGCCCAGTCAGGTGAAGTCCATAGATTAGGGCCTAATGAATTTATTTCAATTGACTGATTTCCTTATTTGAACTGTAACTCAGTAACATCTTTGAAATTGTTGCATGTTGCGTTTATATATTTTTTCAGTATAGATAATCAAGCAATTATGGTCAGGTGTGTTAGAGCGGACTGCAAGCCCCCAGCACTGGAATTGCCCACTCCTACACGTTACCCTCTGAAGTTCTGATAAGCATTCTATTGATTTACTTCAGTTTCAGTGTTTTAAGAATAAAAAGCCCTATCGGCATTTTCAAGCATGTGAAACCATTGCACATTACAATATTTTAACATATGGTAATGTACCATTTTCATTGAGCTGTGATCACCTGTTCTCTCGCCTGTCCTCCAGACATCGTCTTCCCTGTCCTGGACATCCTGCGGCTGGCGGTGCGCCACCCGCAGGTCAACGACAGCCTGTGCGGCGGCGACGCGGATGATGGCGTGGCGCTCTGCAACCACCTGCTGAGCCTGATGAAGCCGCAGGGCCGGCCAGCCAATCAGATGCTGGCGCTGAGGACACTGTGCAACTGCTTTAGTGGCTGGCGAGGCCGGGCCCTCCTATTGGCCCAACGGGAGGCCGTCCTGTCCCACGCCGCCGACCTCTGCTCTGTGTGCAACAAGAACATTCACATCGCCCTCGCGACTCTCATCCTCAACTACGCCGGCTCACTCCACGGCCAGCCCGACCTGGACGCCAAGGCCCAGTGTCTGTCTGTGGCCAGCGCGGCACTGGAGTCGGTGCAGGACAAGGAGGCAGTGTTCAGGCTCCTGGTGGCCCTGGGGACCACGGTGGCCTCTGACCAGACGGCCCAGGACCTGGCCAAGTCGCTGGGGGTCACGTCACAGATCGCCAAGTACACCTCCGTCACCGACCCAGCCAAGGTCGGCGAGTGCTGCCAGCTGGTTTTAAAAGAACTGCAGTGATCTGATTTCCTGTGTCTTAAGAAACACTGGTTTCCCCTTCCCTCTCCATATATTATTACTAGTCTCTGTTCAAGTGTTTAATTGACTTCTGAGACTGTTGGATTGCATGTGCTGCAATAAAAAGATGTACAAATTGGATCTTTCATGAAGCCTGGCTTGTGTCTTTATTCATTATAAATGGAGTTGGTGAGAAAGTAGAATAGAAATAGGCAAATTAGGCACATTTCTAATGCTTTGAAACTGTCCATGTTATGCATGTCCACAGTGTGTACTCTGTCCTCTGGGACGTTTGGAACACTACTTACTGGCTCATGATGACCTTACAGGTAAAGTGTCTGAGACCTGTCTAGTTTTGATCTGGGTCATGTTCAGTAGGGCTCACTGTAGCAAAACATTTAGCAACATAAAACGTAAATTTGTTCTAATTGGATAAGTTCCTAAACGTTTTCTCCCTGCTGAACACAACCCAGGTCAGTGACCATGGCAAGTTGTGCTGTTTGTATTCTAGGGACACACAGCAGCAGTGTGGGCGGTGGTCATATTACCTGAACAAGGCCTCATGCTGTCTGAATCAGCTGACAAGACCATCAAGCTGTGGAAGGCTGGACGTTGTGAGACGATGTTTACATGTGAAAGATTAATGCACTCACTAACCACAGTGCCCTTCATAAATATTGTGGCAGTTCTGGGGCCAGATATCACTGAATGTCTTTGGTAGACGCACAAATATCATACCCCCAAGACATGCTAACCTCTCACCATTACAATAATGGGAGGTTAGCCTTTTTATTGGGGGGTATGATATTTGTGCGTCTAACATTCTCACTAATCATCAACAAATTTGTAGAGTCACAAGCTTGATGGAGTCATTGTGTGCTATGAATATGGGACCAAATACTAAACGTTTGACTACTTTAATACACATAAGTGAATTTGTCCCAATACTTTTGGACCCCTAAAATGAGGGTCCTATGTACAAAAAGTGCTGCAATTTCTAAACTGTTCACCCGATGTGGATGAAAAAACCTTCAAATTAAAGCTGACAGTCTGCACTTTAACCTCATAATTATTATATCATTTCAAATCCAAAGTGCTGGAGTATACAGCCAAAACAACCAGAAATGTGTCACTGTCCCAATACTTTTGGAGTTCACTGTATGTATTGATATCGACAGTCAGGTCCAAAATTATTGGCACCATTGATAAAGATTAACAAAAAATACTGTGCTACAGTATATTGTATGCAAACAAAACATGGGAAATCTGTATTTTTTTGTACTCGTACAATTGCTCAGAGGAAGAAATGTTGTTTAACAAGTAACCATTCACATTTTTGGCACCCCTGTTTTCAATGCCTTTCAATACCTCACCTTGCAAGGATAATGGCGCTGAGCCTTTATCTAAAATGTTTTATGAGATTGGACAACACATTGGCAGGGATCTTAGACCATTCCTCCGTATAGAATCTTTCCAGATCCTTCATCTGCACTTATGGACTGCCCTCTTCAATTTAAAGTTTCCAATGGGGTTTAGGTCAAGAGACTGAGATGGCCATTGGAGAATCTTGATTTTGTGGTCAATTAATTCATTTCTTTGTGGATTTTGATGTGTGCTTGGTGTTATTGTCTTGCTGGAAGATCCACTTGTGGCCCAGTTTCAGCTTCCTGATTAAATAGCATGATTACACAGGTGCACCTTGTGCTGGGGACAATAAAAGGGCACTCTAAAATGTGCAGTTTTGTCACACAACACAATGCCACAGCTGTCTCAGGTTTTGAGGGAGCGTGCAATTTGCATGCTGACTGCAGGAATGTCCACCAGAGCTTTTGCCAGAGAATTGAATGTTAAATTCTCTACCCTAAGCCGCCTCCAACGTCATTTTAGAGAATTTGGCAGGACATCCAACCAACCTAACAACCGCAGACTACGTGTATGGCGTCGTGTGGGTGGTTTGCTGATGTCATCGTTGTGAACAGATTGCCCCATGGTGGCGGTGGGGTTATGGTATGGGCAGCCATAAGCTACGGACAACGAACACAATTGCAATTTATTAATGACAATTTGAATGTACAGAGATACCGTGACAAGATCATGAGGCCCATTGTCGTGCCATTCATCCGACGCTATCACCTCATGTTTCAGCATGATAATGCACGTCCCCATGTCACAAGGATCTGTACACAATTCCTGGGAGCTGAAAATGTCCCAGTTCTTCCATGGCCTGCATACTCACCAGATATGTCACCCATTGAGCACGTTTGGGATGCTCTGGATAGACGTGTACGACAGCATATTCCAGTTCCCGCCAATATCAAGTGGGACAACATTCCACAGGCCACAATCAACTGCCTGATAAACTCTATGTGAAGGAGATGTGTCGCGCTGCATGAGACAAATGGTGGTTACACCAGATACTGACTGGTTTTCTGATCTACGCCCCTACTTTTTTTTAAAGGTGTCTGTGACCAACAGATGCATATCTGCATTCCCAGTCTTGATATCCGTAGATTAGGGCCTAATGAATTGATTTCAATTGATTGATTTCCTTATATGAACTGTAACTCAGTAAAATATTTGAAATCGGTGCATGTTGCATCTATATTTTTGTTCAGAATACATACAGTGCCTTCAAAAAGTATTCATACCTCTTGACTTATTCCACATTTTGTTGTGTTAAAGCCTAAATTCTAAATGGATTAAATATTTTTTTTCTCAACCATCTACACACAATACCCCATAATGACAAAGTGAAAATATTTTTTTAGAAATGTTTGCAAATTAAATACATAAATATCTCATTTACATAAATATTCACACCACTGAGTCTATACTTTGTAGAATCACCTTTGGCAGCGATTACAGCTGTGAGTCTTTCTGGGTAAGTCTCTAAGAGCTTTCCACACCTGGATTGTGCAACATTTGCCCATTATTCTTTTAAAATGCTTCAAGCTCTATCAAATTGGTTGTTGATCATTGCTAGACAACCATTTTTAGGTCTTGCCATAAGCTTGCAAGTAGATTTCAGTCAAGACTGCAACTCGGCCACTCAGGAACATTCACTGTCTTCATGGTAAGCAACTCCAGTGTAGATTTGGCCTTGTGTATCCTGAAAAACTCCCCAGTCCTTAACGATTACAAGCATACCCATACCATGATGCAGCCACCACTATGCTTGAAAATATGGAGAGTGGTACTCAGTAATGTGTTGTATTTGATTTGCCCCAAACATAACACTCTGTTTTCAGGCCAAAAAGTGAATTGCTTTGCCACATTTTTTGCAGTGTTACTTTAGTGCCTTGAAGCAAGTTTTTGAATATTTTTTGTTCTGTACAGGGTTCCTTTTCACTGTCAATTAGTTTAGTATTGTGGAGTAACTACAATGTTGTTGTTCTTTTCTCAGTTTTCTCCTATCACAGTCATTCAACTTTGTAACTGTTTTAAAGTCACCATTGGCCTCATGGTGCAATCCCTGAGCGGTTTCCTTCCTCTCCGGCAACTGAGTTAGGAAGGACGCCTGAATCTTTGTTGTGACTGGGTATATTGATACACCCTCCAAAGTCTAATTAATAACTTCACCATGCTCAAAGGGATATTCAATGTCTGCTTTTTTATTTATACCCATCTACCAATTCGTGCCCTTCTTTGCGAGGCATTGGAAAACCTCCCTGGTCTTTGTGGGTGAATCTGTGTTTGAAATTCACTGCTCGATTGAGGGACCTTACAGATAATTGTATGTGTGGTTACAGAGATGAGGTAGTCATTGAAAAATCATGTTAAACACTATTATTGCACACAGAGTGAGTCCATGCAACTTATGTGACTTGTTAAGCACATTTTTACTCCTAAACGTATTATTTCGGCTTGCCATAACAAAGGGATTGAATACTTAAGGGGGAAGAAAGCTCAATTTAATCTATTTTAAATTCAGGCTGTAACACAACAAAAAATGTGGAAAAAGTCAAAGGGTGTGAATACTTTCTGAGGGCACTGTAGCTATTTGTATTATTTGATTAATTGTTTTTTTTGCTTATCTTTATCAAGGGTGCCAATAACTTTGGACTTGACTGTATATTCAATTAACAGAAACTATAAAAACATTACATGCACAACATCACTGTTTGGTTATTATAGTTTTTTGCATGTACAGTCCCTGGTCACTGACATCTTACATGAATGATAAACTTATTTGACCAATCAAGCTTTAGTAAAACCTGCACAACTAAAAACCACAGATGCACATGGAAGTGGAGTAATCCAGAAACCCCCTTGTTGTATTGTAGTGTATACAGTATGATTACACATTAAGATGTCTGTGTGTCTGTCTCCCAGGGAATCGGGACGGCCAGACACGGCTTATCAAAGAGGGCCAGAACGTGGAGGCGTACCAGTGGAGCGTGGCCGACAGCCGCTGGATGAAGATTGGAGATGTGGTGGGAGGGTCCAACCAGCAGACCTCCAAGAAAGTCAACTATGAGGAAAAGGTGAGGCGCACCCCAACGTTGGGTGAATGATGATAACAATAGATAGAATCTTAATTGTCCTCAGATAACATTATTGTACGCTGTACTACAATACAACTCTGCCCTACAACATGAAAGATGACCCCTGGCTGACGGCTCACAACTTCCTGCAGAAGAACGAGCTCAGCCCCATGTTCCTGGACCAGGTGGCCAACTTCATCATCGAGAACACCAAAGGACACACCTTGGGAGCCGCCCCGCCCAGCGCTGCCGACCCATTCACTGGTAGGGCCACTGAACCATCTTCATACTATAGGCTGCTACATGACATGTTTAGACTCTTAACACACACCGCGTGCAAAGTTACTGTAATATTTGAAATAGACCGGCCCAGCCCAGTAGTATCAACCCATTCACTGGCCATTTTCTCTCTATAGGGTACACTTAGGGTGATCTTTCCCTCTTCTAACACACAGTGTGCAAAGTTACTGTAATATTTGAAATAGACAGGTCATGGCAAATCAAATTGAGTTTGGAATACCACACTAACTGTATTTTCACCCACCTTTTATCATGTTCACCATTAGGCTCAGGCCGATACATTCCTGGAGCTGCTGACAACAGAGCAGGCTTTGGGGCTGACCCCTTCACAGGTAAATAAACACAAATATCATTTTCAGTTTGATGAGGACATACTGTTCTAATACATTATTATGGTGTTTTCCCCAGGCACTGGGCGGTACATCCCAGGATCGGGGACTCCTACAGCGTGGCAGACCCCATCACTGGTTAGTCACTATAGCAACTCCTTCAATGTCTAGGGTTCAATCCGAGGTCGCATTAACATTCAAACCTGTTTTTTCCCCAACAAATTACATATAAAAGATAAAACCCCAATAACACTGCTAAAGCAGATCATATTTTGTTTGGTTGAGGGGTAGGGCTAACACTTCTACCCCCCTCTTGTCTTCCCAGGTGAGGGTGCCTACTCCTCGACTGCCTCGAGGCAGACCTCCACAAACATCTACTTCCCAAAAACGGATGGGGTGACCTTTGAGCAGGCTAATGCCACACAGAAAATGGGTAAGTAAGTAAGCACTGAACAAAACATGATCCCTTGATATTTTATTATATATTTTTCATACTAGCAGAAATAATCAATGTCTATTTATTCAGTGTACAAAACTGATCAACCATCACTGTGGCTGAACTGAAATAATGTGGATAGCTATATGGAAACCTCACTACAGTAAATACATACCAGGTATTACAAAGTGTCTGTTTCATTCTCAATAGCATCTCTGTATATTAACGTTGCTCTTTGCCCTTCCACCAGCCAAGTTGAAGGAGCTGAACAGTGGGGCCCCTGGGGAATACAGGATGTCTGAAGAGGTGCTGGGGAGCCTGGAGAAGCTGCCGGTGTCTGTCTGTGACCCCCACGCCTCAGAGCAGCCCACCACAGAGCAGATCAGTCTGCTCTGGAAGACCTCCCACTGGCCAGAAGGTAGGCTACCACACATTTTGGGCAGGATTTGGGTTTATCCCACTAGACTAGTGCAGAGGTGGGCAATTCTGATCCTGGCAAGCTGCAATGTATGCAGGCTTTTGCTTCCAGTCACTAGCACATGTGATTTATACTGAACAAAAATATAAAACGCAACATGTAAAGTGTTGGTCCCATGTTTCATGAGCTTAAATAAAAGATCCCAGAAATGTTCCATATGCACAAAAAGCTTATTTCTCTCAAATTTGGTGGACAAATTTGTTTACATCCCTGATAGTTTCTCATTTGACAAGATAATACATCCACCTGACAGGTGTGGCATATCAAGAAGCTGATTAAACCGCATTATTATTACACAGGTACACCTTGTGCTGGGGGACAATAAAAGGCCACTCCAAAATGTGCAGTTTTGTCACACAACACAATGCCACAGACGTCTCAAGTTTTGAGGGAGTGTGCAATTGGCAAGCTGACTGCAGGAATGTCCACCAGAGCTGTTGCCAGATAATTTAATGCCACCTCCAACGTAGTTTTAGTGAATTTGGCTGTACATCCAACCGGCCTCACAACCGCAGACCACGTGTAACCAAGCCAGCCCAGGACTTCCACATCCGGCTTCTTCACCTGCGGTATCGTCTGAGACCAGCCACCCGGACAGCTGATGAAACTGAGGAGTATTTCTGTCTGTAATAAAGCCCTTTTGTGGGGGAAAAACTCATTCTGATTGGCTGGGCCAGGCTCCCCAGTGGGTGGGCCTATGCCCTCCCAGGTCCACCCATGGCTGTTCCCCTTCCCATTCATGTGAAATCCATAGATTAGGGACTAATGAATTTATTTCAATTGACTGATTTCCTTATATGAAATGTAACAGTAAAATCGTTGAAATTGTTGCGTTTATATTTTTGTCCAGTATATATCATTTAAATGGACATGAATATAAATATTTGTTTGTATTTTTTAGTTTTTCCTCCTATTAGATGCCTGTGAGCTGACACTGGACGAAAACACGGCACACAGAGAGCTCTCTCTGTCTGAGGAGAAATGCAACCATATCCTGATCACCCAGACAGATTTGAGCGCCCTGCACAGGTGTTATGCATAGAGGGTCTAACTGGACGCTGTTACGTGGAGGTGAAGGGGAACAAGTATGCGACTTATATAGGAGTAGCATACAAAGGGATCAGCAGGAGAGGAAGGGACTATGACTCCCTCCTGCGTTGTGCTGATGACCAATACATTGCCTGGCACAATATGAGGAGCACTGTCATTCCTGTCCCCTCCAACAAACTGTGGCTCAGCCGGCACTCTGTACTTTTACAGTGTCTCCTCTAGCACATTGACCCATCTTCACACATTCCACACTAAGTTCTCTGAGCCAGTCTATCCAACCTTTAAGGTTTGGGCTAATGGCGCATCAGTGTCCCTTTGCAAAATAGAATAGCATCTTGGCGCGGTAGAATAACTTGTAAGATGCGTTTCTTTATTATTGGCAGACCACAGAGGCAACTGAGTAATATGTTACAAATATTCCGATACAGTTTATGATCTTGTATTTTATATTTTATTGAGCTATTGCTGTAAAAGGGCTATGATGATAATCCTCAATGTGCGTCCATTTGTGTGTGAAGCCAAAAATGAATTATTTCAGTTTTTACATCTTGTTAGTATTTTAAATAATTAATTCTTCAAGAACTTTTCCAGAATTGTGTTGGTGTTGTGATGGCAAAAGTACTCCCTTAAGGCAATGTTGAAGAAAGGGCTAGTAATTGTCCCCAAACCTATGCATTGACTACCGTATAAAAATGCATCACTAGTGGCAGGGTTTGTTTTGAATCAGGTAACAACTCATTTATTGCAGTACAATAGTGTATAGACATTCACAAGCATTCCACAGGACGGAAGAGTCGATTGAACCATTTTGTATAGTACAGTATTTTCTATAGATCCTCTGGCAAGCACATCATAAACTTTTAGCCAATAGGGAAATGCTCAAATGTACGATGTCATATATGGTGGAATCGTTTAGATACAAGGAAGTTAGTTATCAAATGTATAACACCACTGTGATTGGATTGATACATGTTCTGTAGTCCATATGTTCAAATGTTATAATAATAGTTGGATTTCGGTTTAGGTTTCCTGGAGGTTTTAGATTTTGTCATCACATTTTCTGTTTTGGAAAGAAATGGGTGGTAAATGAAATGTTACGTGGTGTAAAGTTTGACGTTTAACCTCTAAAATGTTGGAACAGATTATCCCTATTGGGGTTAAATCATGTACTAATCTAAGCAGTGCAATCTGACGACTTTACATAGAGAATATTCACACTTGTGTGTGATTCTCGCATTTATATCTAAAAAGGACCACCTCTAACCATTGTCCTACAACATGGTGGGTAGAGCCGTTGTAGTAGGAGTTATGATACTTTCTGTAATGTCATCTGGGTCCGTATTCTAAAAGCGTCTTAGAGTAGGAGTGCTGATCTAGGATAAATGTAGCCTTTTAGATAATAATAATGAAGATTATGGACAGGTGTAGACCTGATCCTAGATCAACACTCACTCCTACAGGCCCTGGGCATATTTCTCCTGTTTGAATGAGCCCTTTTATGTGCTGTGTAAAGTCTCTTCCGCTGTTCAATGTCAAAGTTGATATTCCATTCACAATAAATGAAAAACAAGAGACGTGACAAAATTAATTAAAGCAGACCACACTAATATGTAAACCTTAAAAGCTAGCTTATCCTAAGCGAACAGTATTTGCCTTAACTACAATGCTTCATGATGGTTAAGCTTTCAAAAGGGAGGCATATTTCTATGCCAGTCAGATATCGTGTCTATATATTATGGTCTATGATTATGGAGTAACCCAAGCATGTACACAAGCAGATATTTAATCACATGAAAGCATATATTACCATAATAGTTGAACTGTACGTTGCAGTTAAAAATAAAATTGTTAAAAACATTACACGGACTGACTGTCTTGTCACTACTACTGAGGCACCACAGTAACTTACCATGGTTTCTTTCCCTGTGAGAGAACGGCTCTCGTCTTTTGCTTAAGGCATGGGGATGGAGCGATGGAAGGAGAAGGAAAGAGCTGCACTTCAGTAGTTTGGCATCTCAGTTCCCTTCCTATTCATGGTTACATTAGATTTTTAGCCCCAAAATGGCTGGTGGCTAAACCTGGAACATTCTAGGTTTTGAGTATTCTGCGACGGATTCCTTTTCTCTCCCATTGGGATGTCTATGTTGTAAGAATAAAACCTCATTTAGTTCTGGCTTTTCTTTTAAGACACGTGTGCAGGGTTCTGGAATGTTCTCGAACTGATCGCCAACACTTATTTACACAAAACGAGAGAAATCTACTTCTCAAAAATGAATTGCATTGAGAGACAAACATCCACAATGACACAATAACATTAGTTAAGACTGAATCTGTAGAAATCATCATCATCAAGGCACCCCCCCATGTAGAAAAATATGTACAAAAAAAGACAACCATCAGACTGGTAAAGCTACCATTTCAATGACAGTGATGATCAGATTTCTGTCCATGGGTGAATTGTCTACTAGGATACTACAAGGTGGTTCTAGGGCCAGGGGTGTAGGGGTCAGACCCTGGGGCTATAGGACAGTAAGACAGAGCTGGAGCAAGGCCACTCAGGACAGGGCAGTGAGACATACACGCATACTCGATCGTAAAAGGGACTAATTAACACTCTGTACAAGCAACATTCATTCTCTCTACACCATCGGTAAAGAAACACACCATTTTATAAAGAACAAGGCTCTTTTCCTGACCTTCCAGAGTATTTACATAAATAAGTATTTGAGTTACAAGCGACCCGCGGGAAAAGCTGCAAGAAGCAGAACAAAAGAGCCTTTCGGGAGAGGGTTAAAAAGTACCATCTTTGGGTGATATGAAGGTGCAAAAATTATCTGTACAAAATTCTCCCTTACACCCTCACCACCCATCAAGTTTCTTTCTCTCGGCCTCCTCTCTCTGCTTTTCTCCACAGTGTGAGTGAGTGAGGTCATCAGACCGTCCAGCAGATGGCAGCAGTGGCCAAATCAGATGACTGGCGCACCGAAGCACTTGAGGCACCACTGGACGTTGCTGTTGGGTGGCCGGTCAATCTTGTGCAGGGCCTTGAGCTGCTCTGGGCTCAGCTCATCAAAGGCCAGGCGGTATTCACGGTCAAAGGCCTCTGTTGGAGACACGGTGAAAAACATAGAAATAGAATTACACTTTTTTCATCTATATTTAGCTCATCAAACTCAGAATAGAAAAGCACATAGTAGTTATGGTAACTATAGCCATCAGAAGAAGACACTGGATGATTGGAATTACCCAAGTCTTGGTTTAAAAAGACTGGTTGTGTCATGCAGTTAACTCACCGACGTCAATGTTCTCCCGTCCCAATGCCACCAGCGCCAGGAAGAGGATCTCCCTATAGATACCCCTGATAAGAGACAAATCGATCCATTGATTAATAAATAGATCGAATGAGTAAAATGGATCACAAAATATATCACCCTCCAAATAAGTGTCGGAGGACTGACCTTTGGCGTTTGACCTCTGGGTTCCTCTTGACCTCCCGGAGGAGCAGGTTGATTGGGCCGTAGACGTCGTTGGTCTGGATGCTGCGGACGATGCTGTTCAGGAGGGTCCGTGTCTCCTGGTAGTCCGTGGGGGCCAGGGTGCCCTTCTTCTCCACTGGGAAACAGAGATGGTTCAGTACTCATTCACTATTCAATACATTAGAATAATGGGTTTTACGTATATGGCTCTTTTCATGAGCTGACATCTCAAACTGTGTTCCATTAACGAATATGAGCAGGACATGCATGTTAAAAGGCAATACAGAGAGAGAGAGTTTGCTCAGTGCTCTGAGGATGATTGCTTGATTAGATGTATGAGAGCTGAGTGAGTGAGTGAGTGAGTGAGTGAGTGAGTGAGTGAGTGAGTGAGTGAGTGAGTGAGTGAGTGAGTGAGTGAGTGAGTGAGTGAGTGAGTGAGTGAGTGCGTGCGTGTACTCACTCAGGGTCCTCCAGCTCTGGTAGAGGGGATCCCCAGGTTCCTGGTGCAGGTTGATGTTGTCCCACAGCAGCTGAACATACACCTGTTTACTGTCCTGAGACAGGGATGTCTGGGGGAGCTGTGGACATAGAATGGAAAATACAGACACAGTTATCTACTGTTGTACTACTTTAAAGGTCCTGAACAGTCATTCTGAAAAGTACTTTTTCTCTCATGGCTAACTACCAGGAAATTTGAAAAGACAGGCTGAGTGCGCTTATATTCATGAGCTCGCCTTGACTGACAGCTCTTTGAAAATCCTATGTCAAGCAACTTGAATGCAGTGAGCAGTATGGCAGTCAAATCATCTCAAGCAAATTTGGTGATATACAAAGCAACTCAAACATTGAAACTGCATCAATAATATATATTATTGGCATGTCTCGTGATGCGGTTCACAGCAGCACTGACGGGTGTGTTGACTTGACAACTGCGTCGGCGGTTTGAATGACCCTTCCTCCCCTTTTGTTCCATGCTGGCTGACGACCTAGCTAGCCAGTAACTAGCTAACATCAGACACAGATGAAGATCTAGCTAGCTAGTAACTAGCTAATACCAGACACAGATGAAGACCTAGCTAGCCAGTAACTAGCTAACACCAGACACAGATGAAGACCTAGCTAGCCAGTAACTAGCTAACACCAGACACAGATGAAGACCTAGCTAGCTAGTAACTAGCTAACACCAGACACAGATGAAGACCTAGCTAGCCAGTAACTAGCTAACACCAGACACAGATGAAGACCTAGCTAGCTAGCCAGTAACTAGCTAACACCAGACACAGATGAAGACCTAGCTAGCCAGTAACTAGCTAACACCAGACACAGATGAAGACCTAGCTAGCCAGTAACTAGCTAACACCAGACACAGATGAAGACCTAGCTAGCCAGTAACTAGCTAACACCAGACACAGATGAAGACCTAGCTAGCCAGTAACTAGCTAACACCAGACACAGATGAAGACCTAGCTAGCCAGTAACTAGCTAACTCCAGACACAGATGAAGACCTAGCTAGCCAGTAACTAGCTAACACCAGACACAGATGAAAGGGGAAATATATAAGTATCTTTGTCATATAGGGTAAATCTTTCATTATTTTTGCTGACACCCTACAGTCAAAGGTAGGCACCAGTAGAGTATCTATCTAGCTATAAACCACCATGCCTTCTCAAATGTTGGTTACATGGGCGGTACTGATTTAAATTAGGTAAGAGAATATCATGTTACCATTGGTGTATTAAAAAGAGAGTTAAGGTGATGTCACCTTGTCCCCTTAATAATGAATCCAAGTGTTTGACATGGGGGAGGGAACCAGTAACTTTATGATACAACTTTATCAATGTAGAAGCAACAGTCATTTTTCATACTTTGGTCATCATACTTTGATCTGGTATCCTTCAAATATCATCAAATTAATGAAAAACATGATTTTGATAGTTCATGACCTTTAACAGTGGCTGATCGGGTTCACAGTGGCTGATCGGGTTCACAGTGGCTGATAGCTCTGAGGTGATCAGAGCTATCAGCCACTGTAGAGAGCACTGTTTGTAAGCTGTAGGTGTATATTTGTGTAGATGAGTAGTGTGTGTGAGCTTTGCATGGTTATGTACCTGTACTCCATTGTTGCAATGTTCTGAGGTGAGGATGAGGCCAGGCAGGTAGCTGGGCAGGTCCAGGCGTTGGAAATAAAACACCAGGTTCCAGAATATGATGGGGTGCTGGCTCAGGAACTTGTGGGTGTAGATGACCTGATGGAGAAAACCTCTTTACAAATCTGTAAAGACACTGGGACGATGGAAACAGCAACAGCGAGGTTGACAAATGACCAGCACGTCAAGGGACACACATACAATAGCTACATTTATGACATTTGTAAACACAGGGGCCCTTCAACATACTGTAAGTCACACTACATGTGAGAATCTATGGGCCCCATTTTGCTGCCCTGTCTATTTGAAATATTGCTTCTTTCTGAACCTATTCTTATATCTGTTAAATGTGTGTTACTTGGTCTCCCTCGTTCTCCAGTAGGGTCTCTAGTTCTTTGCGGAGGACCAGGGGGCTGAGGTAGGGCACAGACACTGGCATTGGGTTGGACCGCTTCTGTCCCAGGCCATCCTGAGAACCACACACACACACACACACACAGCTCTTTAGTCAGTTGCATAACTACTTCTGACCATCTACACAATAGAACCTTTTGTTGCCTCCCACTCACATCCACAGTGAAAAACCTATTCACTACATCCACTGGACAGTGACCACTGATTACGTATCCATTTTATTTCTGGATTTTTGACAAATGTGGTTTCACAGCACTGTGTGTAAACAACCTCTTTGCTTTCTAAATAGCATAGAAACGCATGGCCTGTACATGTGCTGCAGTTTTAAAATAAATTCAATTTAAATGAAAGTCCACATAGGGAAAAGATTTGAATCAATTTCAATTCGTACCCTGAATTGACTGAACTGAAATTGAATTGACTCAAGCCCTGGTGCGCTGTGAATGGGAAGGATTGCGAGGACATTATAAGGACACCACCATCTCTGTCAGGCTGCAGGGCAAGCTGGTGGTGGACACACTATGTTCTGGTTGTCTCTGGTCAACCAGGCTCTGTAGAGGCCCGCCCACGCTGTTGCTGCGTGTCAGAGACGTCCCCCTCTTCCCTGCCTGGTGCTCCAGCAGGCCCAGGGGGTCCGACTGAGCCGGCTCCGGTACCAAACTGACAAACGGAGAGGGTAAAGACAGAGGATCTTTAACAACAGAAAAATGCAAAGCAAGAGTGAGCCAAGTCAAGTTTCAGTTTGTGATTTTTCAGTTCTTACAGTTCAATTGAAAGAGGAACAAGTTAGCTTAGCTACACATTAGCATCATTAGGGTACATGTTAACCCTTTAATTTACTGAATAGAAGGCACCAAATCAGATGAAGGATAAAAGGTAATATGATGGTGACAGAATATTAAATGTATTTTTGAGACAGGCATATCTGTGAACAGACCTCTTGTGCGTGGCAGTCTGGCTGGCCGGGGCCTCTCCTGGGTCCTCAGATTCTGGGAAGCTGATGAGGTCCGGGGGCGGGGTGTCCACTGCACCCCCCACCTTGTTCTCAGTGGAGTCCTGTGGCTGTGGCCTGGTGGCTGGTGCTGTGGATACTGTCTCCTGATGCACTGGGATTCAGGTAGAACCTGGAGGGGAGATCACACACAATGAAACAAGGGAAGAGCATACACATCCAGCCACATAGAACATTTTAATGACTTAGATGAAAATAATTAAGGATGTCTAATTGTATCAGGTTAAAATGTATTTAATGCCCATTTCAAAGCCTGCCACCGTATCTTCCTATGTAGCCGTTTCTGTACGAGTGCTTAATTGTCTGCTTTTGTACATTGTATTGTGTCTCACAACAAATTCTGTTTCAAGTTAGTGAGTTCTTCATGAACTAGTAAGTATACTTTAAACATTAGCATGGAAAATCTCTCATCCTGTTTTATTGAATACACTATTATACAAGTGTATACTTCAACAGCCAGACAGACAGACACCCACCCTGTGGTGGTGCGCAGGTCGTGGAACTCGACGTGGAGCAGGGGCAGGAAGGCGGTGCGGCAGAAGGGACAGGTGGTGTTGAGGTTGGAATCGTCTGCCGTCCAGCCCGCCATGATCTCCTCATCGTACACCAGACACTCACAGGACCGACACTGAGAGCAGCTGGACATCAGCACCTAGACACACACACAAAAACACACACACACACACACACACACGGAGAGAAACATTACAGATGCATTTGGCATAGGCTCCCTGGCTATGTAACAAACTCTTATCGGGTTACGGATAGCAAGAGGTCACAGTCCATTATGAGCCTATAGCGCCCTCTAGCACTATGTATGAACTGCCAGATTACTACAGCATATGTCATCTGTTTTTGACTCTGTCTTCGTGAGACCATACAGTGGGGAGAACAAGTATTTGATACACTGCCGATTTTGCAGGTTTTCCTACTTAAAAAAGCATGTAGAGGTCTGTAATTTTTATCATAGGTACACTTCAACTGTGAGAGACGGAATCTAAAACAAAAATCCAGAAAATTACATTGTATGATTTTTAAGTAATTAATTTGCATTTTATTGCATGACATAAGTATTTGATACATCAGAAAAGCACAACTTAATATTTGGTACAGAAACCTTTGTTTGCAATTACAGAGATCATACGTTTCCTGGAGGTCTTGACCAGTTTTGCACACACTGCAGCAGGGATTTTGGCCCACTCCTCCATACAGACCTTCTCCAGATCCTTCAGGTTTCGGGGCTGTCGCTGGGCAATACGGACTTTCAGCTCCCTCCAAAGATTTTCTATTGGGTTCAGGTCTGGAGACTGGCTAGGCCACTCCAGGACCTTGAGATGCTTCTTACGGAGCCACTCCTTAGTTGCCCTGGCTGTGTGTTTCGGGTCGTTGTCATGCTGGAAAACCCAGCCACGACCCATCTTCAATGCTCTTACTGAGGGAAGGAGGTTGTTGGCCAAGATCTCGCAATACATGGCCCCATCCATCCTCCCCTCAATACGGTGCAGTCGTCCTGTCCCCTTTGCAGAAAAGCATCCCCAAAGAATGATGTTTCCACCTCCATGCTTCACGGTTGGGATGGTGTTCTTGGGGTTGTACTCATCCTTCTTCTTCCTCCAAACACGGCGAGTGGAGTTTAGACCAAAAAGCTCTATTTTTGTCTCATCAGACCACATGACCTTCTCCCATTCCTCCACTGGATCATCCAGATGGTAATTGGCAAACTTCAGACGGGCCTGGACATGCGCTGGCTTGAGCAGGGGGACCTTGCGTGCGCTGCAGGATTTTAATCCATGACGGCGTAGTGTGTTACTAATGGTTTTCTTTGAGACTGTGGTCCCAGCTCTCTTCAGGTCATTGACCAGGTCCTGCCGTGTAGTTCTGGGCTGATCCCTCACCTTCCTCATGATAATTGATGCCCCACAAGGTGAGATCTTGCATGGAGCCCCAGACCGAGGGTGATTGACCGTCATCTTGAACTTCTTCCATTTTCTAATAATTGCGCCAACAGTTGTTGCCTTCTCACCAAGCTGCTTGCCTATTGTCCTATAGCCCATCCCAGCCTTGTGCAGGTCTACAATTTTATCCCTGATGTCCTTACACAGCTCTCTGGTCTTGGCCATTGTGGAGAGGTTGGAGTCTATTTGATTGAGTGTGTGGACAGGTGTCTTTTATACAGGTAACGAGTTCAAACAGGTGCAGTTAATACAGGTAATGAGTGGAGAACAGGAGGGCTTCTTAAAGAAAAACTAACAGGTCTGTGAGAGCCGGAATTCTTACTGGTTGGTAGGTGATCAAATACTTATGTCATGCAATAAAATGCAAATTAATTACTTAAAAATCATACAATGTGATTTTCTGGATTTTTGTTTTAGATTCCGTCTCTCACAGTTGAAGTGTACCTATGATAAAAAATTACAGACCTCTACATGCTTTGTAAGTAGGAAAACCTGCAAAATTGGCAGTGCATCAAATACTTGTTCTCCCCACTGTATATTGAGTATGGTAGCCACTTATATATAAAGTATGATAGTCTCACCTCCAGGGCACAGTTCTGGTAGATACTAGAGGAGCTGGCGTGGTGGGAGCCTTGGTCTGACCTCTCAGAGTCTGGACCTCTGCCTGGCCTTCCTGGAGTCACATCTACACACACAAGGAGTAATCACACACTTTCAACCATACACCCTTCCACATCTTGTGAGTGTGTTTATGGGTATACGGGTAACGTTGTTTGTCTTCTCGTGCATGCATTAACAAACAGTGTGTGTGTGTGTGCCTGCATACTTTTGTATTTATATAAAATGTGTGTGTCAAGTGTGTGTATGCTTACGTGTGGAGTGGGGTCCTCTCCCTGTGTCGCTGCTCCCACTGCTGCTGCCCAGGCTGGTGCTGCTCTGGGTCAGGCCGTTGGACACCAGGCCTTGGGTGGGCCCTCTGTGGGTGGGACTGTCCCTTCCTCCACCCCCCAACAGCATGGACTCATCCAGCCCAGCAGGGAAACTGTCCCTATCCCTATAGCCCGGGCCCAGCTCATCCTGGGAAGAGGGGGAAATAAGGCCAAATGTAAACTTCTAAACGATTGTGAATCGTCATATTATTCACTTGTACAACACTGAATGCATTCTGCAATATGGTTTGCAAGATGAACCTGTGAAGATGCTCTGCTTGCATAGTCAAAGTCTTACATCATTTGTCCGTATATAATGGTGTTTTACAGTGTGGTATTTACAGTGGGGTCCAAAATTATTGAGACGCTTGATAAAGATGAGCAAAAATAACTGTATAAAATAAATAATTTAAATACTTAGCTATTTTTATGCTAAAAAAAGTGGGGAAAATATATTATTTTATACTCATACAATTGCTCAGAGAAAGAGATTTTGTTTGACAAGTAATAATGTTTTTTTCTCAAAAAGGTAGGGGTCAAAATTATTGACACCCCTGTTTTCAACGGCTCTGAGACTTTTTCTAAAATGTTTTATGAGATTGGAGAACACATTGGGAAGGATCTTAGAGTATTCCTCCATACAGAATTCTTCCAGATCCTTTATATCCTTCGTCGCCGCTTATGGACTGCCTTCTTCAATTCAAACCACACGTTTTCAATGGGTTTCAAGTCTGGAGACAGATGGCCAATGCAAAATGTTGATTTTGTGGCCAATTTTGTGTATTTTGATGTGTGCGTGGTTATTGTCTTGCTGGAAGATCCACTTGCAGCCAAGTTTCAGCCTCCTGGAAGAGGCAACCAGGTTTTTGGCAAAAATGTCCTGGTACTGGGTAAAGTTCATGATGCCGTTGACCTTAACAAGGGCCCCAGGACCAGTGGAAGGTACCGGAAAGCCCCCCCAAAAATAAAAAATATATCACCTTTATAATATAGCATTGCATGCATTATCATTGCTTTTGTGTACAGGCATAGAGCATTAGAGTAGAGGCGATGGAAGAAGTTGCACACACATGGGTATAAAGTTTTGTAGCCTAGGGTCTGGGAAAATGTTTGCCTTTTATAAACGCATTTCTTGCAATTCTACATCATTTTAGATGACTGAAGACTTTACCAGATTTTTTTTTATACCTCCAAATGAACGAAATGACAGTCTACTTTGACACTGAAACTGAGATCAACAAAAACAACCTTGTCTTGAATCCATCAATAGCCTAGGCCAAGTTTGTGGAGACACATATTGTACAACATAAGGAGGAAATTATAGTCCTAAAAAAGCTTTCCAGTTTCACTGACTCACCCAATGACGTACAGCTCACTCACCGGCGATGGCTGATGCGCCCCTGTGTCAAAAGCCTCTCTTGTTTTACTTAGTAAAACAATGTTGTTTGCTCAATAGGTCTATTTGGAAATTGACCATATTTAGTAGCCTACAGGCAGATTAGTCTTCTCTTTTCAGCAGGAGCCATTTACTTTCCAATCTGTATTTTCCCACGATTGTATTTGAACATTTTGCGAAAGGCGTGTTTTGGCTGCATGCTGTTCACTGACTGATTTGCAGCGCATTTCCGACTGTAGGCATGCCTTGTGATTGGGCTACACTCCACAGCAAGGAAATAATACAAAAATAAACTATTGATCCTCTGTGACCTAGTCCTGGTGTAGTCTTCTGAATTATTTCATTTTTCTGAACAGACAGCAGTATTTCTATAACTTCAATTTATCAGGGGTGCAGCGGCACCGCCAGCACCCTTCCCGCAGCTATGATTCTATAAGGAAATAAATGATGAAGTGCAACGCTGGAGAGATGAGAGTTGCAGGCTCATGTCTAGCAGAGCAGAGAGAGGGCGAGAGATCATAGGAAGTAAATCTCATTCTTGTTCTGTGAGAGATACAGGTGCGCTTCTATCTCTCACCACAGCAATGGCCACACGTTGGTCTATAGGGCTACAATGTTGTGCGAAAACCATAAACCAGGGCCGGCCCAACTCGAATCAATTCTTAGAATATCAGGCACGTTTTCACGGGGCAGGAGAATTACAGATGAGGCAACTTGAATTAACTCTGATTGCGTTTATTAGTGAAAATTATTTTTCATTCCAAGAGAGGTATTGGATCCTGGCAAATGGGTTCCGGAACGAAACAGTCCAAAACTGAGTTCAAATTAAGCACTGGTTATGGGGCTATTTTGAGTCTATAAGTGCAGACCAATTCCTGTATATATGAATGGACAAACCCATCAATCACGTGACACTATTAATTCCTATGTGAAGACTCAACAGCGCATTGAAGCCAAATTAAGTCGGTTAAGATGGCGTCTCATGTAGACATAACGTGCAGTTTGAGCTACTCCAGGAAGTGACGTTGCAGGCTAGCCCCTCTCATTGAGTAACTCAAGTTGGAAGGATGAAGGATGAAAGATGAAGGATGACTGGTTCAAGGACATGCATCTGGTGTATTAGAAGCAATTATTGGTACTATGATTGTCTTCAAAACTTTTTTGTATTTACACGAAGATTGCAATTTTTCCATTCACTATAATGGGAGATCCTGTTTTCAGCTAACAATGCCTGGAGTACCATGGTCGGCATTGAACTTCCACGGCTTCAATGAGAGGGGGGGCAGTCATTCTCCCCTGGCGCAGATTAAGGATATCAAAGATCTGGAAGGATTCTGTATGGAGGAATGGTCTAAGATCCCTCCCAATGTGTTCTCCAACTCATAAAACATTTTTTTTAAAGGCTCAGTGCCGTTGTCCTCGTAAGGTATGGTATTAAAAGGTATTGAAAACAGGGGTGTCAATGCATTTTACCCCAAACCTTTTGAGAAAAAAAGTATTACTTGTTACACAAAATCTTTCTCTGAACAATTGTATTAGTATAAAATAACATAACTTACCCTTTTTTGCATATAATATACAGTGGGGAAAAAAGGTATTTAGTCAGCCACCAATTGTGCAAGTTCTCCCACTTAAAAAGATGAGAGAGGCCTGTAATTTTCATCATAGGTACACGTCAACTATGACAGACAAAATGAGGGGAAAAAATCCAGAAAATCACAGTGTAGGATTTTTAATGAATTTATTTGCAAATTATGGTGGAAAATAAGTATTTGGTCAATAACAAAAGTTATTGGCTAGGCCACTCCAGGACCTTGAAATGCTTCTTACGAAGCCACTCCTTCGTTGCCCGGGCGGTGTGTTTGGGATCATTGTCATGCTGAAAGACCCAGCCACGTTTCATCTTCAATGCCCTTGCTGATGGAAGGAGGTTTTCACCAAAAATCTCACGATACATGGCCCCATTCATTCTTTCCTTTACACGGATCAATCGTCCTGGTCCCTTTGCAGAAAAACCCCAAAGCATGATGTTTCCACCCCCATGCTTCACAGTAGGTATGGTGTTCTTTGGATGCAACTCAGCATTCTTTGTCCTCCAAACACGACGAGTTGAGTGTTTACCAAAAAGTTATATTCTGGTTTCATCTGACCATATGACATTCTCCCAATCCTCTTCTGGATCATCCAAATGCACTCTAGCAAACTTCAGACGGGCCTGGACATGTACTGGCTTAAGCAGGGGGACACGTCTGGCACTGCAGGATTTTAGTCCCTGGCGGCGTAGTGTGTTACTGATGGTAGGCTTTGTTACTTTGGTCCCAGCTCTCTGCAGGTCATTCACTAGGTCCCCCCGTGTGGTTCTGGGATTTTTGCTTGTGATCATTTTGACCCCACGGGGTGAGATCTTGCGTGAAGCCCCAGATCGAGGGAGATTATCAGTGGTCTTGTATTTCTTCCATTTCCTAATAATTGCTCCCACAGTTGATTTCTTCAAACCAAGCTGCTTACCTATTGCAGATTCAGTCTTCCCAGCCTGGTGCAGGTCTACAATTTTGTTTCTGGTGTCCTTTGACAGCTCTTTGGTCTTGGCCATTGTGGAGTTTGGAGTGTGACTGTTTGAGGTTGTGGACAGGTGTCTTTTATACTGATAACAAGTTCAAACAGGTGCCATTAATACAGGTAACGAGTGGAGGACAGAGGAGCCTCTTAAAGAAGAAGTTACAGGTCTGTGAGAGCCAGAAATCTTGCTTGTTTGTAGGTGACCAAATACTTATTTTCCACCATAATTTGCAAATAAATTCATTAAAAAATCCTACAATGTGATTTTCTGGATTTGTATTTCTCAATTTGTCTGTCATAGTTGACGTGTACCTATGATGAAAATTACAGGCCTCTCTCATCTTTTTAAGTGGGAGAACTTGCACAATTGGTGGCTGACTAAATACTTTTTTTCCCCACTGTAGCTCAGTATTTGAATTATTTTCTTCATCTTTATCAATGGTGTCAATCATTTCGGACCCCACTGTATATCATCTGGCTGTTGCAGGTTATTATTGTGCAATTAATTACTATTTTACTTTATCTCTTATTTAATCTAGCTATGTATGCATGTTATGCAGTCCATCCCCACTCACCTCGTCGTCGGAGTAAGAGTAGGCTGAGGCCACGGCTCCCCACACCTTGCTGGCCAGGTTCCCTGCCTGCTTCATGCCTGACTTTAACACGTCCATCTTGGGACCCGAGAGCAGGGCGTCCATCTTCATGCCCGAGATGGAGTTGATGACCGAGCCCAGCGAACCGCTCTGTGACGACCTCACCAGCGCAGTCAGCGACGATGACCTTGGGTTGGCCACAACACCCCTGGAAGAGGCAGGGCTCCTGGAGGCCTTCACAGCGAAGGTCTTGGAGCGTGTGACGGCTGCGGGGCTGTGTTTAGGCGTTGTGTCCCCGCTTGACCCCCCTGGGTGTTTGACAGGGGGCACGGGGAGGCTGGACCTCCGTTCTAGAGGTTGCGTCACTGGGGCAGCATCCGGGGAAGAGTCCCCTCCCTGGCCCCCCTGGTGGAGCTCCATGCTACAGGATTTGGGGCCAAGCTGGCTCCGGAGGCTCATGTACATCTCAATCTCGTCGGCCAGGTTTCGGGACACCACGGCAGGCAGGGATTGCGGCAGCTCCTGACTGGTTACGGAGGCTAACTCCTCGTGCTCCGAGACAAGGAGGGAGAGGGGGTCTGCCCCTACCTGCACCTCCTTAATCTCCAAGGTTGGCAGAGAGATAGAGCCCCTCCCCCCTGAATCTCTTTCCTCATCTTCCTCCTCCAACTTTAGACCAATCTCATCCTTTTCTCCTGCCTCCTTCCTGCCACCTTTCATCCTCTTCTCCTCTTTCCATATCCCCTCCTCCTCCTCCAGTGGGGTTGGGTCCTTTACTGGCCCCTCCTCCTCTGACAGTTTCCCCAGAGTCGGACCCCGCCCCTCCTCAGACTCCAACTCCAGGTCCTTAAAGAGGGCTTTGGCCGCACTGGGAAGCGGCTTTGTAGGCGGGGGGTTGGTGCCGCCCCCAGAGAGAGCCGCCGCCAAGATCCGTGCATCTGCGCCCATGCGGCTGGCGATGTGGTCCACACCATGTTTCTCCATCAGCATGCCGGCACGGCTCTCGGCACTGAAGCTGCAGCTGCGCTCCGAGAAGGCCTTCTGGCGCTGGACCTGCCCCTGGACCGCAGGCCCCGCCACCCCGGAGCCACCCGGGGCTGCAGACTTACCCTCCTCCAGCAGGGAGACGTCCTCGCTCTGGCTGCGCAGAGAGAACAGCTTCCCAGGGGCTGGTGGTAGAAATGAACACATAGGCCTTCAATACTAGGGGACATTTTCTGTCCACAATTTCCCCCAATAACCATAAGGAGAGTTCAGTGCTGTTTTGAAGACAAAAATGTTACCCCAAATATCAAATGTGTAAACCTCAGATATGAGATTAGGTTTAGATTTAAGTTTGAGTCTGCTCCCGTCACTCACCAGTGTCTCCTCTCTTCAAAGCGGTATCAAAACTCGCCCCTGTGGACAGCTTGACGATGCTAGGGACATGTGGGAGGGCTTTAACAGGGCCGGGGGGCTCCACTACAACCACTGCACTGTCCAACGAGCCAGCTATGTCCCCACCTGAGGAAACATGATTGCACACCAATAGCAAAGGTGCATAAAGATGGAGGAATTCAGATAGGACGTCATTGTTTTTCGCACTACCCATAGAGTTTTTCATTAAAAAAAACCTGAATATAAAAGACTGACAAATTGCATGCCCATCTAGCAGATGAACTCTCGTCATTACTATTCTATGTTATGCCTGAGACTGGGGTTGGCTGTATTGGTTACCGTTGTGCTGTGCTTTGGGCTTGCTGCACTGATCCACGGCGATTACAAGGGCTGCTGATTGAGCCAAATCCACTAGGTCCTGATGCAACTCATCTTTAGAGCCGTAGCCTTGATCAGACTGAACTCCTGTGGGACACAAACATATTGACTTAATCTACCCAGTCTTTTAAGATCTGTGCACATCTGAAGGTTAGGGACTATGGGCTAGGTGCAAGAAGTTAGGGCATAGGAGCTAAGGGCTAGAGGCTAGGGACTAGTAGCCAGGGGCTATAGACGAGAGGCTAGGGGCTAACAGACGAGTAGCTAGGGGCTAATGGTTAGTGGCTAGGGATAGGGGCTAGCAGCTAGGGGGTAGGGGATAGGAGACGCTGTACATGTAGGGACTTCGTCCAGTGTCTCCAGGCTGCAGTCTACCTCTGCTGCAGTGGTTGTCCGTGGCGTCTCCTATGATGAGGCTGCGTGCGAACAGCTTGTGATCCTCTCCATTCGCCTCGCTGGAGCTGTCCACACTCCAGTGGCTCAGCCGGTCGCCGTCGCTGCTCGCCGAGCCGCCCACTGATTGGCCAATATCACTTCCTGTGTCCCAGATCAGAGTTTTAGGTGAGCAAGCTAAAATGAGAGCTACTGGCCTTAACCATGTAGGAATAATACAAACAAACAAAGGAAGGTGGTCTGTACAGTATATTGTAAATAGAGTGTATTGTCCTACATACAAGCACATGTACATTACATAGTTAAAATAGATGAAATAAGTAGAACGTGATATGCATTTGGTGCAACAATCAATCAAATGTCAGCAGATGTCACAAAGTGCTATACAGAAACCCAGCCTAAAACCCCAAGCAATGCAGATGTAGAAGCATGGTACTGTGGTGTTTGCACTCCAACCTAAGTGATTGACTCTCTCCCATGCTCTGTCTCTGTAGTGTTCTGACACCTCACCTGTCGTGATGATGGTGGGTCCATTCATGGCGGGCGTCCGGTGGACTGCCTGTTTGAATTGAGAGACAGCGCGCGCCACGTTGCGCACCTTGGCCCACATGAAGAGACCGCTTCGGTTCCGACTGGGCCAGGGGCCTTCCAGAACAGCCTGGAAGAATGAGTGGAGAGGAGATTAACATGGGCCTACTTTGGATTGAGGTATTTGTATGGGCTAGTTTAAAGGGATAGTGCGAGATTGTTGCAATTTTTGTCTCTGCATGCAGTTTGAAGGAAGTTGAAGGTAGTTTCGCGAGTCATTGCTAACTAGCGCAATGACTGGAAGTCTACAGGTACAGCTAGCAAGCCAAAATCTTGCACTATCCCTATCCCTAACCCTAAATGGTTGCAGATATGTAAGGTCTAAGCAATATGGTGGAAGCGCCACAACTACACATCTTAATATCCAGACCAAACATTAAAGGGTTAGGGTCAAGGTGAAGGGAGTGAAATGGGATCGGCTGGTTAAAGTACCCTACCTTGTTGTAGTATCCATAGGTGATAGCATTAGGGTGCACCCCCGCCTTCTTCATCTCCACCAGAACACGGACGGCCATGACAGGCTGACCGTACACGCCACACAGCTGCATCACTACACGGTAACACACCTACAGAGGGAGAGATGGTGGCTATGTGTGAGAGGACACTCCAAGACAATAAAAACCTAACGGCTACAGTAGACTTCCACTGAAGTTATCACTGTAGTGGAAGTGATAATAGTAGCAGACAGACAGATAGACTCAAGCCCACTCACAAAGACTCATGTTCACAAACATCCTCAGACAAACACTCCGCATACGTCGACAGATAACCAACCATAAGCACTCACAACCCTACATACATATCCCCCCCAACCATCCAAACACCCAATAAACCCCAACCTCCCCTATCCCCATTCCCCTCACCTCATCCAGCACCTCCACCTCAGAGGTCCTCATTTTCAGCAGGACGTTGTAGGCCTGCTGCATGGCCCAGCTCTTGGACTGGGCCAGCCTCACCCCCACGGGCAGACAGATGAACCACAGGCTGTAGCAGTGGCTGAACAGACACTTGGCCCACAGCGGAGGGTTGGAGTAGAAGCGCTTGGCCATCTTGTAGGCCAGCTTGATCTCCTGTGGCAGGACACAGAGTTCAGTTCAGTTCAGTTCAATTAGCTTTATTAGACATGCAGACAATTTACTGATTATGATTGATTTCAGATGATGTATTTCAGATTATTCTCCTTTGCCATTTCCTGATGGTCAGAGTTGGGAGGAGAGAGTTGGAGTGAGTGTGACTGTGCACGTTCCTAATGGTGAACCTCCCCTTCCTCCTCTCTCTGTAGAACAATGGCCTACAAACAAATACTGCTTGTGGTCTTTGAGGCGAAAGCAGCTCACACTGGCTTGATATCCTGTCCCGACACCCACAACTCAATGTTTGTGCCGTGGTGAGAATATGCGTGAATATGTTAATATACTTGCTAAAAGGGCCAGACAAAGCTACACATACAGTTCTGCCTGAACTGGAACAATATATTGGCCTCCCACAAAAGAGGAGAAAGAAACAACACAAAAATATAGTTTCCTCTGAGGTCTATTATTCTAGAAACAGGTCACAGTGGCCCCTTTCCCTCCACACACACACACACACACACACACACACACACACACACACACACACACACACACACACACACACACACACACACACACACCTCGCTCTTCCCCCTCTTCCATTCCTGTCCAAAGTAAAGCTAGTGTTGGAGGCTGACGTGTGCAGACTGGCTTTGAACCCCTTCTCTGCCCTGCTGTAAATAAGTTGTTGCTGGTGACCGTGGTGAGTGACTTATTGTTATTGGAACCATCACAGCCTGAGAGAATGACTCCGCAGCAGGCAGTATCCATTGCAGGCTAGGTTATTCCCTGACTGGGGAAGTGGTTAGGTGGTCAGGGCAGTACAGAAAGGTTCCAGTGGGTAGAACCAGAATGATCAGGAAAGTACCAGAATTTGTAAGTCACTTTCTTTTGTTGTTTTCCCCCTTCCCTTCCTGCAGAGTTGCAATAAAGCAAACTGTTGCACCTGCTTATCTGGCTGACTGTGTGTGTGATCGTGTACCTGCTTGGTCCTCTTGGCCAGCAGTGCAGGGCTGTTGGACAGGCTGGCCCCTGGTGTACTACTCCTCAGCGCTGGTATCACCTCCCTGGGGCGGTCAAACAGGTCCAAACGCAACCGAGGAAAACTCTTATAACTGAGAGAGAGAGAGACAGAGACAGAGAGAGACAGAGAGAGAGAGACAGAGAGAGAGAGACAGACAGAGAGAGAGAGAGAGGAGAAGAGGGAGATGCCACAGGTATGAGAGTGAAGCCAATGCAGAACCGCTTCCGATCCTCCTGGCCAGGTGCACTGTCAACCCTTCACAACAGAATTACACTCGCACTATAAAACACTACCAGGCCCACTGATGTTAATTAGGGGGGTAAGCTCACCTGTAGTAGGCAGGGGGGTCAGACCCATCCTCAGTGGCAGGGGGTTCTGGAGGCATGACGAAGACCGTGTGCTCGCTCTTCTGTGATTCGTCTAGTTCCATAAGCTTGGTGTCCTCTGAGGACTCACCCTCCACCTATGGAGAGCAAAACATGTTCTTAGTGTCAACGCACATGGTAGTAAACACACACACACAGACAAATCAAATCACTACAACCAGATCGAAAACAATTCTTCTAATCAATGCATAAAAATTTGACAGACCCCAGTTGGAAAAGGTGGTGTTAAAACTAGACTACGGTGTGATGGATTACCTTAGTGCCTTTGTCACTGCCTTTATCGGAGGGAAATAGCTGCAGGGGGAAAAAGTGAGAGGAACAGATTCAATAGAGGAAATTAGCCTTCCTCCGTCAGTCTCCCCTGGAGGAATGTTACGACTAAGTCACCAATAAAACAACATATAACAAAAAAGGTATTTCATGGGGAACGGTGGAAACTGAGAAATGCCACAGAAATTGGGTTAGAAAATTGACGTCTGTCTGAGGCACTTGCCAGGGATGATGGAGGAAAGCCTTGTTCTTGTCTAGCAGGGTTTGGGGGTACATTTTCAATTCAATTCACTTCCTGGCTTGATGGGAGTTGGAATGGAATTGGCACTAACCCAGCAGGCAAAGCGGCATAAATGACATAATTTCAACCAGTTTTGCCCGCTGGAAACACGGTTGGATTTTTAAAAATTATTAATTGAATTTCAATTAACTTCCTGGATTGATGGAGTTTAAATGGAATTGACCCCAACACTGATCCCTGATGCCTGGTTCTTGTTAATGCTCACCTTCTCAATGCAGTCATCGAAGAAGGCCAGGCCCGTGTCCTTGTCGCTGACGAACGTGCACTCCTCGATGAAGCGGATGAAGATCTGAGTCTTGGTCAGCTGGGAGTAGAACTTCTGGTGGGTGCGCTCCCTGCTCTTCAGAAACCCTGGTAGAGGACAGAGAGCCAGGTCAATGGGCCTATTCCATAGGAAACGCTACACAAACATTATCTAAACACTAAAACAGGCAATGCTGTGTGGCCAAAGATGAAATAAAAAAGCCGAAAGGAAATATGCTTTGTGTTACAGTGGATTTTAGTGGCCTTTTTTAAGTTACAATTCCACAGTAAAAAAAAAAAACTATATTATATTCAGTGAATGGGTAGTGTGGTCTTGTGAAGTAGCCTTTTAAATCAAATAGACAATATAATATACAGTATATATATCGCTATATTTTCTTCCGAATGCATTTTATAAGTGAAAGTGAAGGTATTCAACCCAGGTGTATAGCCAATATAGCTAGCCATAACCAAGGTGTGCAGCTCTTTCCCCACTGGTTATGCAGCTTCCATTGGCCTTAATGGACCTAAATGAGGATGCGATGCCTTTCCAAGAAGCCTGCGTCAGTGGAAAGAATTTACAGCCAATGCCATGGATGATTGATTTCTGACACACTGAGCAATCACTAAGTAGGCCTGTGAAATAGGAGACTTGCCTGTTATGAACACTTGGAGGAGCAGTCAGATATGCTATCGGTTTAACACAGCCCCTGGATTTGACATTAACATAATGTAGAAAATACATTGCGCAATTTAAATACTTTGAGAAATGTGTGAGATTGCAACAAATGAAAATGATCATTTGACTTTCCTGATGTTTTAGCCCATTTGTCTTTTCTTTTGTCTGTTTTGTGTTTCTCTTGAGACAAAACAGCGCCTGCGTAAGATCTTGTTCTAGGTGCTGCGATGAATTTTCTGGGCAAATAAACGAAGGACTAAAAATGATCCATCCATTCTCACCATGCAGGTCATATAGTGAGTCTGCAGCAGTGACCTTCTCGGAGGGGGCCTCTGTGATGAGTTTGAGGCAAGGGCGGTAACACACACATACACAGCCTGTACTAACCCTGTAGGTCGTATAGTGAGTCTGCGGAGGTGGCCTTCTCGGAGGGGGCCTGGGTGATGGGTTTGAGGTAATAGCGGTAGCCCTTCAGGATGTTGGCCATGAAGCGCAGCAGGGCCTCTTGGATCTCCATCTCCAGGGAGGTCATCTTCTTGTGCCAGGTGAAGTCTGCCTCGATGGGGGTCATCTCCACTGCCAATCCCTCTTGGGCTGTCCGACGCACTGAAAACAACCACCAGACTGGATATAAACATTTCTCATTTTATTCACATTTCACATACCAAAGGTGGTCCTCTGTCGCTCAGTTGCAACGCCAAGCTAGTTTGTACAATTCCCAGCAACACCCGTACGTCAAATGTATGCACACATGACTGGGAAAAGGATCTGCTACAGCGAATATATTATTATTATTATCATTATTATTATATTACATGAGCAAAGCAGGCTGAATGCACCATTTACTCACCATCGGCTAGATAGCTAGAATTCATTCATAATTTATATCTAAAGACGTATATTCATAAAGAATTAACTTCTATATCATACGTCCAACTGATGTACTTTTATCCTGAATGCATTGGCCATGAAGCAATTGCTATGAGGGTACAGTTGAGGTGACTGTGACTATGTGTACCTACCGATGCCCAACTGGTGGTGCAGGTTGGTCAGGGAGGTAAACAGACTCTTGCAGGGTTTCTTTGGAAGGTTTTTCCAGTTACTGTGTCTCTTCTCATCAGACCTGCACAGATGGTTCAGAATGTTAGTATGGTGTTTTTGGAATATGCTCATTCTCGTGTAAATAATTAAATATTTTATATGCAATATATGGGAATGTTTGGGGGTATTGACAACAGGTTGAGTGTGTAAACAGATCCACATGTCAAAATGGGGGAAATGCTCCTTTCAAGTGTATGGATCTTACAGGTAAATAGTGTTGGTGTCCAGGTCCACACAGACCACGTCCGGCGGGGGGTCATAAAGGTCAAAGTAGCGGGAGTCCACGCCCACGATGAAGGGACAGGGGGCATTGAGGACCCCCGCCAGGGAGAGGGGGCACAGGGGGATGTACGGGCACTGCCACTGGAATGGAAAGATCATCTGGAGAGAAGAACACAGATGGAGAGAAAATCTAACTTCTATTTTACATTTTGATCTAACTTTTAACCTAAAATCAGTCCTACATGGGACTGTTACACTGTATACCAATGGTAACTGGATAGAAACTCCAACCAACCAATTAATAAGTCCCATTTTATTCTAATTTTTACATTTTAAAAGCTGTATGACCATATCCTGTATCACTCACAGCCACTACGGCCTCTGCTACCCCGGTGAGTACAGCGGGTCTCAGGGAGTGAAGCAGGATCTTACTCTCCAGCAGGACAAAGTGCAGCAGCGTGGCACAGTTCTCTGAGCCCAGGTTCATCAGCAACGTACTGTAGTCTGCCCCACTGAGGAGAGGAGAGGAGGGGAGGAGGAGAGAGAGGGAGGAGGGGATGAGAGGATGAGAGGGAGAGAGGCAAGTTGGGAAGAGAGGAGCACAGAGGGATTGGGAAACAATTCAAATTAGACTTAGGGATCCAATGGCCGGGGCATCAATGGTTGGATTGGATGAAGGGAAGCCATCTTTGAAGGTAGGTTTGTAATTGGTACAGGTGCACTGAGAAGGTGTGTGGGCAAATAAGTAAGGGAGGGGGTGAAGGTAAACTGGATTGAGACAGAAGCTCAGGTTACATTGTGCCCTTGCGACAAAACATGTTCTTTTAAAAACCTTTTCAGGGGAAAGTACTTTTCTTTTCAGAGAATAACAGTTTCAAACTTTGCATAGCAGCAAACACTTATAAATCTGGCCCAAAATTATTATAAGTCTGGAGAGGAAAAAGCCTGATGATAATGATGGAACATATGGTATTTTTAGAACATTATGAGGTTTATTGGCAGAATGCAATGGCAGCATAACAGTTTATTTAATATGTACAGGCTGGATTTCTACACTAAATAATGAAGGTCCTGTCCACAATGTGACAGACAGGCAGTGCTGTTTCAGTTTTAAAGTGTGAATATTTGACCTTGGAAAACTGACATGAATTAATGCGTTTTGCATTTCGAAGCTAGAACCTTTGGAGGGTGCTGGATGATTGCTTTTTCTAACCCCGGTATTTCCTTTGGAAAATCTGTGGTTGATGCTCTACCATGATAACAATAACTGGGCCCAGTCTCTCTTTCTGGTCCTGAAGCCTAGATTATCACAGCTCTAAACTTGTTGAGAGGATTTACCACCATCTGAAATCCAGCTATGAGAATACGATGAGGGTTCCGATTTTGATTGTGTGTGTGTGTGTGTGTGTGTGTGTGTGTGTGTGTGTGTATGGCCTAAATGTGTGCAAGTACAAAATCAGATTGACCCTTTGAGACAGCCGATAATGTCAGGAGAACACACATTTGCATGATCCATTCAGCCAGCTTTAAATAGGTCGTACCTGAGAGGCAGAGGAGTGCACACAGGTTGTGCGAGCATCAAGGTGTCATGTGCAGAGAGCTGAAAGAGAAAACAAAAACAAAAAAATGTCACCCTGCCACGACACCAGTTTTTTTTCCACACATCAAACACATTCATTCACGCAGAGACAGACGCAAAAACCCCAACAAACTTCCCTCGCTAACACAAAAAACACAATGACATCTCACCTGGACCAAGATTCTGGGCCTCTGAGGTGAGGGGAAGGACACGTTGTGCATGAAGTGCGAGATGTGCCTGTCAAAGAAACAAACCAGCAAACAAAACCACATTAGTCTCTACCAACACCCACCTACTATCAAATTCATTTATAAAAAAAGTCAAATACATGATTAAAAAACATTCATCCTGAGCTACACCTGATTTAGTTGTCCTGGTACAATGGAACCAATGGAATAGTCCCAAAGCAAATCACAAGCTTCCAACTTGATAAATGACGCAATCCTAAACCAAATCTCCAACTTGACAAATGACGCAATCCTTACTTTTCGATGGGCAGCGGGTGGGGGCCCGAGACGGACAGCTTGTAGAGGAACATGAGGAACTTGCGGAAAGACTCGAAGAAGGGCCAGCGGGAGAGCAGGCAGATGCACTTGTTGGTGTTGACCGTCCGGTTGGGGATCATCATCTTCTCCACGGTGGTGAGCAGGCCCAGCTGCACCTTCTGCTTCTCACTGAGGAGATCTATGGGGTAGGCCTCGTAGAACTGGATGGCTGCGCCGTACACCTGGGGCAGATCAAATTATATAACAGATAGATTCCTGTGTTAACATGTTTGTTAACAGATGTTAACAAATGCCCTTTCCGCATTTTTATGATATGGCGAGTAGTGTTTGTGCACCCTTTACACTAAATTGCTAAATGTGTTTACGTTGAACGCCACCCGTCATCTCAACTGGCATTCAACGTTTACACAACAAAGTACAATTTCATTACTCCCTCTAGCTCAGAGAGAAGTGACATGGTTTGGGACATAACTTGTGATCAGATTGTAGTTTGCTCAAGGGGCAGCTGACATTCAGGTGCCTTGAAACACACAGCCTGAGGAGAAAACAAATATTTCTACCCATTCCCACTGTCACATGCAGCTCAGGAAGTGAGACTTGAATGTTGACTATTACAGCTCTCAATCAATCTACAGTATCACAGCGCTGCTCAGCGTTGGCACTCCATGGGCCGAAATTGAACAGCCCTGAACTATCTACTCACGGTTCATTGTAAATCACTGTTAACTGATATAATACCATTGTTCTAGTCCACCTACCTTTTCCCCAGAGGAGTTGGTTAACACAAAGGTGGAGAAGACGGGCAGAGGGTAGCGTGTGTTGGGGGCCCAGCACTCGATCTTAGCCCCCATGGGGAGGCAGAACAGGGGCACAGACTCAGACAGGGGGAAGGACTCATAGTCATCCTCTGGGTAGCGGAAGATGAGGCCTGGAGGAGAGAGAGCAATCAATCAATCTTTTTTATACGGCAAGTCACACAAGACATACACTGAGTGTACAAAACATTAAGGACACCTGCTCTTTCCATGATATAGACTGACCAGGTGAAACCTATGATCCCTTATTGATGTCACTTGCTGTCACTTGCTAAATCCACTTCAAATCAGTGTAGATGGAGGGGAGGAGACAGGTTAAAGAAGGATTTTTAAGCCTTGAGACATGGATTGTGTATGTGTGCCATTCAGAAGGTGAATGGGCAAGACCAAAAATGTAAGTGCCTTTGAACGGGATATGGTAGTAGGTGCCAGGCGGCCACTGGTGTGTGTCAAGAACTGCAACGCTGCTGGGTTTTTCACGCTCAACAGTTTGTGTGTATCAAGAATGGTCCACCACCCAAAGGACATCCAGCCAACTTGACACAACAGTGGGAAGCATTGCAGTCGACACCTTGTAGAGTCATGCCCCGACGAATTGAGGCTGTTCGGAGGGCAAAAGGGGGGTGCAACTCAATATTATGTTTGGTATAAACATACATGTAACATTAATTTCATTGGGGTACACTGAAAGCACTAGACTACATATCCCAAGGAGAAAATGATGTCTACAGATCCCACTACACAATAATAAACACACCTATGAAGTGAAGACAGGAGAAGGGAAGGAAGGATGAAAATTGGCTCACTTGGCTGTTGGAATAAGATCAAACCCCTTTCCCTTGTCATATTTTCATTGACATCAGCCAGTGTGCTGAGAGTCAGGACACATTATTTTCAAAGGAAAGCAACACTTTGCTGACCAAGACCTTGTCACCCCATGGCATTTTGTGAATTTCAGAGAATGCTGTCAAAATAAAGCGCTCAAAAGAGTAGGCGGGGTAGGAAGCAGTCTGTGGTCTGGCGAATAAAAAGCGTCACCTCACAGGAAGAAGGCCTAGTGGAGATAAGGTGTGTGTACGTGGTATCTGAACAGGGGCCCGTCTAAGCCAACACCCAGCTCTGACCTCCGAAAGTAGCAAGTACGAGACAGGGAACAATTCTGCATTATTTACAAGAATGTGGATACCGGTACATGGAGGGAAACCATCTGAATAGGGCCTTACAAATGTCTGATTATGGGCTAGCTGTCCTCAGAAACATCATCTTTCTAGTAAGAACACATGCAATTTTATTTTCCATAAGAACCTGTTTGGAGGTCATTCAAATGAAAAACCAAACGTGACAAAGATAAACATAGGGCAATTGCAATGACGCACAATGACACTGTTTTCCACCTTGAAATAAAATGGGCACCAGAAATAAGGCTGGGAATGCTGATGAGAAACACTCAGAGCTAATTGCATTAAGAGTTCTGATTTGCCGTGAACAATTCTAATGTGAGGCTGTGCCCTTTTCTAAACTCCAGATAGATGCATTGGTTTGAAACTAGGACTATGTCCCAAATGGCACCCTATTTCATATATAGTGCACTACTTTTGACCAGGGCCTATAGGGAATAGGGTGCCATTTGGGACCTACCCCATATCCTAAGATTCAGAAGAGCGACAAAACCCCCAAACGAATCATGCCATTTATTCCAGGAATCATCAGGGAGAATATTGTGCAGTTTCCAGGTATTTGAGTGACAGATAACAGAGCTGGCATATGCCAGTGCATTTAGTCTTATCTACAGCACACAGAAAGCTCCTGTCAATTCAGATCAATCATAAGAGATCAACATACAATTACTTTGAAGTCATCTCAGGTGCAAAGCAAGCGGAAACATATGGTAAACAGCATTAAACAAAGGCCAGGAAATAATAACTATCCATCAATGTGAGCAGAAAAGGCAGACCGATGTGGAGAGATGGTAGATAGACAACAAAGAAGACTCACCGGCTTTGTAATTGATGGAATTGGACGCCGACACTGATTTCTTGTAGCACAGGAAAACACTGGAGCCCCACTGGAGGATGAAAAACAAGACCATGTGACTTGTGGCTCAAAACAACATTTTCAACGCTTAATTTCAACAGAATGTACTCGGGGTGAGTGCCATGGCCTACATTTCATAATAGGTATATTCCAGCCCCATACATTCCATCCTCATTCCTTCCCCAAAGTACTACTTTTAACCAAAATAATAAATATGTGTTGGAACAATTGAGCATGTGGGCTGTAGTTCATTACCAATGGTAAAGTATATGACATCTGGCAGATGGTTTTAACCACAGTCATGCGTGCGTACATTTTCATATGGGTGGTCGCGTCGGGATTCAAACTCACAATCCAAGCATTGCAAGTGCCATGCTCTACCAACTGAGCCATAGAGGACCAGAGGACTCACCATGCCACAGTTGAGGTTCTTGTCCACCTTGCAGAAGGTGTGCGGCGGCGTCTCGCCCTTGCTAGTGACGATGACGCAGATGTCGGTGACGGCCAGTGAGTTCTGGGGCTGGACGGGCGGCGCACGGCGGAAGGTGATGAAGATGCGCTGCGAGGTGGCAGAGCTGTTGTTGACGTTGGCACAGCGGCCGTACGGCGTGGCCTGAATGACCTCACAGCCCTGGATGAGACGCTCCTTCCCTTCGTATAACACCCTGTGAGAGAGACAGAGAGACAACCATATGAGTCAAATGACATGTACATATTCACATACACCCACTCACGCATTAATACGTACAACACCAAACACATTCACAAACGAGACCTAGGCCAGAATCATTGTAGAGCACCCCGAGACACACACACTCAACAATATGAGCCAATAACGTACACATATTCATATGTATCCACTCACACATGAATAACAACAAACACATTCAAATAAAATTGTATTGGTCGCATACACGTTTAGCAGATGTTATTGTGGGTGAAGTGAAATGCTTGTGTTCCTAGCTCCAATAGTGCAGTAATATCTAACAATACACACAAATGCACACAAATCTAAAAGTAAAAGAATGGAATTCAGAAATATATAAATATTACGACGAGCAATGTCGGAGTCCGGAGTATATATATATACACTGCTCAAAAAAATTAAGGGAACACTAAAATAACACATCCTAGATCTGAATGAATGAAATAATCTTATTAAATACTTTTTTCTTTACATAGTTGAATGTGCTGACAACAAAATCACACAAAAATTATCAATGGAAATCAAATGTATCAACCCATGGAGGTCTGGATTTGGAGTCACACTCAAAATTAAAGTGGAAAACCACACTACAGGCTGATCCAACTTTGATGTAATGTCCTTAAAACAAGTCAAAATTAGGCTCATTAGTGTGTGTGGCCTCCACGTGCCTGTATGACCTCCCTACAACGCCTGGGCATACTCCTGATGAGGTGGCGGATGGTCTCCTGAGGGATCTCCTCCCAGACCTGGACTAAAGCATCCGCCAACTCCTGGACAGTCTGTGGTGCAACGTGGCGTTGGTGGATGGAGCGAGACATGATGTCCCAGATGTGCTCAATTGGATTCAGGTCTGGGGAACAGGCGGGCCAGTCCATAGCATCAATGCCTTCCTCTTGCAGGAACTGCTGACACACTCCAGCCACATGAGGTCTAGCATTGTCTTGCATTAGGAGGAACCCAGGGCCAACCGCACCAGCATATGGTCTCACAAGGGGTCTGAGGATCTCATCTCGGTACCTAATGGCAGTCAGGCTACCTCTGGCGAGCACATGGAGGGCTGTGCGGCCCCCCAAAGAAATGCCACCCCACACCATGACTGACCCACCGCCAAACCGGTCATGCTGGAGGATGTTGCAGGCAGCAGAACGTTCTCCACGGCGTCTCCAGACTCTGTCACGTCTGTCACATGTGCTCAGTGTGAACCTGCTTTCATCTGTGAAGAGCACAGGGCGCCAGTGGCGAATTTGCCAATCTTGGTGTTCTCTGGCAAATGCCAAACATCCTGCACGGTGTTGGGCTGTAAGCACAACCCCCACCTGTGGACATCGGGCCCTCATACCACCCTCATGGAGTCTGTTTCTGACCGTTTGAGCAGACACATGCACATTTGTGGCCTGCTGGAGGTCATTTTGCAGGGCTCTGGCAGTGCTCCGCCTGCTCCTCCTTGCACAAAGGCGGAGGTAGCGGTCCTGCTGCTGGGTTGTTGCCCTCCTACGGCCTCCTCCACGTCTCCTGATGTACTGGCCTGTCTTCTGGTAGCGCCTCCATGCTCTGGACACTACGCTGACAGACAAAGCAAACCTTCTTGCCACAGCTCGCATTGATGTGCCATCCTGGATGAGCTGCACTACCTGAGCCACTTGTGTGGGTTGTAGACTCCGTCTCATGCTACCACTAGAGTGAAAGCATCACCAGCATTCAAAAGTGACCAAAACATCAGCCAGGAAGCATAGGAACTGAGAAGTGGTCTGTGGTCACCACCTGCAGAACCACTCCTTTTTTGGGGGTGTCTTGCTAATTGCCTATTATTTCCACCTGTTGTCTATTCCATTTGCACAACAGCATGTGAAATGTATTGTCAATCAGTGTTGCTTCCTAAGTGGACAGTTTGATTTCACAGAAGTGTGATTGACTTGGAGTTACATTGTGTTGTTTAAGTGTTCCCTTTATTTTTTTGAGCAGTGTATATATATACACAAACACACACCGAACAAAAATATAAACGCAACATGTAAAGTGTTGGTCCCTTGTTTCATGAGCTGAATTAAAAGATCCCAGAAATGTTCCATACGCACAAAAAGCTTATTTCTCTAAAATGTTGCGCACAAATTTGTTTACATCCCTGTTAGTGAGCATTTCTCCTTTGCCAAGATAATACATCCACCTGGCAGGTGTGGCATATCAAGAAGCTGATTAAACAGCATGATCATTACACAGGTACACCTTGTGCTGGGGCCAATAAAACGGCACAAACGCCACAGATGTCTCAAGTTTTGAGGGAGCATGCAATTGGCATACTGACTGCAGGAATGTCCACCAGAACTGTTGCCAGAGAATTGAATGTTCATTTCTCTACCATTAGCCGCTCCAACGTCGTTTTAGAGAATTTGGTAGTACGTCCAACCGGCCTCACCACTGCAGACTACGTGTAACCACGCCAGCCCAGGACCTCCACATCCAGCTTCTTTACCTGCGGGATAGTCTGAGACCAGCCACCCGGACAGCTGATGAAAATGAGGAGTATTTCTGTCTGTAATAACGCCCTTTTGTGGGGAAAAACTCATTCTGATTGGCTGGGCCAGGCTCCCCAGTGGGTGGGCCTATGCCCTCCCAGGTCCACCCATGGCTGTGCCCCTTCCCATTCATGTGAAATCCATAGATTAGGGACTAATTTATTTATTTCAATTGACCGATTTAATGTAACTAAGTAAAAGAGTTTAAATTGTTGCGTTTATATTTTTATTCAGTATATGCACACTCTTGGCTTTCTCTCAACCAGCTTCATGAGGTAGTCAACTGGAATGCATTTCAATTAACAGGTGTGCCTCGTTAAAAGTTAATTTGTGGAATTTCTTTCCTTCTTAATGCGTTTGAGCCAATCAGTTGTGTTGTGACAAGGTAGGGGCTGTATACAGAAGATAGCCCTATTTGGTAAAAGACCATGTCCATATTATGGCAAGAACAGCTCAAATAAGCAAAGAGAAATGAAAGTCCATCATTACTTTAAGACATGAAGGCCAGTTATTACAGAAAGGCAGTCGCAAAAACCATCAAGCGCTATGATGAAACTGGCTCTCATGAGGACCGCCACAGGAAAGGAAGACCCAGAGTTCATTAGAGTTCCCAGTCTCAGAAATTGCAGCCCAAATAAATGCTTCACAGAGTTCAAGTAACACACACATCTCAACAGCAACTGTTCAGAGGAGACTGTGTGAATCAGGCCTTCATGGTTGAATTGCTGCATAGAAACCACTACAAAAGGACACCAATAAGAAGAAGAGACCTGCTTGGGCCAAGAAACAGGAGCAATGGACATTAGACTGGTGGAAATCTGTCCTTTGGTCTGATGAGTCAAAATTGTAGATTTTTGGTTCCTACCGCCATGTCTTTGTGGAATGCAGAGTAGATAAACGGATGATGTCTGCATGTATGGTTCCCACCGTGAAGCATGGAGGAGGTGTGATGGCGTGGGGGTGCTTTGCTGGTGACACAGTCTGTGATTTATTTAGAATTCAAGGCACACTTAACCAGCATGGCTCCCACAGCATTCTGCTGCGATACGCCATCCCATCTGGTTTGCGCTTAGTGGGACTATCATTTGTTTTTCAACAGGACAATGACCCAACACACCTCCAGGCTGTATAAGGGCTACTTGACCAAGAAGGAGAGTAATGGAGTGCTGCATCAGATGACCTGGCCTCCACAATCCCCCGACCTTAACCCAATTGAGATGGTTTGGAATGAGTTGGACTGCAGAGTGAAGGAAAAGCAGCCAACAAGTGCTCAGCATATGTGGGAACAAGACTGTTGGAAAAGCATTCCAGGTGAAGCTGGTTGAGAGAATGCCAAGAGTGTGCAAAACTGTCATCAAGGTGGCTACTTTGAAGAATCTAAAATATTAAATATATTTTGATTTAATACTTTTTTGGTACTACATGATTCCATATGTCTTATTTCATAGTTTTGATAACCCACAACGTTAGACACGGACACGAATGATCTGCTTGGCGTGTTGACACACTGGTGGTTTGTTGTGGCCGAGTATTGGTGCTAGACCGTGTTATTGGAGCCTGGCATGCTAGTTGGCTATGGCGTCATAGGACTAGGTGCCCTGGACGGTTTTCACGGAAGAATACTGTACCAAGTTAGCTAGCTGAATAAACTAAGTTAGTCTATTCCTAGAAAACATTGAACCGCTGTAGTTTACAACAATTGTCGTTTCTGAGGTGGAAGTTGGGAGAGTTATATTTGGGTGTTTCAGTGAAACGTGAAGGAGGCCCCGCTCTCTCGCTTTCCCAGATGTTTAGTTCATTTCATTCCGATCTCCTTTGCATTATTGTAGCCATTTT